ACGCGTCTCGCTTAGGTAAAGCTCCCAGGCTCATATCTCTTCAACTGGTTTGTGCTTATCTTCTACACTCTGTTATTTGAGAGAAGTAATGTGTGCTTCATCCCAGTCCTAATCCCCTCAACAGCCTGTGTGCCATTTGGCTTCCAGAGAAAGCGACTGGATAAGTAGCTGGAGTTCTAAGGAGGGATCCAGCAGGCTGCCTCTTACTTTTGGCAACCAACTTACATTTGATTTAACTGAAGTGAAAGCATATGGTTCCTGGCTATGAGGAGGTGGTGAATTTCAGTTCATCCCTGTCCATAGTCACAGCTAAGAACAAATAGTTCACATAATTTGTACTCCTTCCTCTTCACACTCGAGCAATTTTTAAAAAAATACTGTTTAAAGAAAAGGAAAGTGTTAAATTTGGTATTTATGCACGGGACAGTTTTGGTATTGAAAGTAGTCTCTTGTGTGGATTGGTTCACACAGTAGGACACTGGTCTCCCCGTGTCCCACAGCTTCGGCTGCTGGCCTGGTTGGTCAGTCACTGCAGCCAATCATCCATCCACCTGCTGGAGAGAACTTTGCCTCTGGGGCTTGGAGCATTTGTGCACCTGTTGGATCCAGATGCCTTATGGAAGGAAAAGGACATGCAATGAGAAGGCTGGAAGCTCATCGGCTTCTGACGTGTCAGTGTGTGGGTTTAGAACTTAGTATCACATATGGCATCTTCATTTTGCCTTTGTAAATGAACTTGACACCCTATTGTTGCACAAGATGGCCGCCTGGCTTTAAAACCATTTCTCAAAGAATAGTCCAATCCTGCTGTATGCTGTGGATTCATACATGCCTGTAGGAACATTTAGGATATTTCTTTTGTGTATCTCTGTCCCTGCATCGCCTCACCCTTAATCACCTACAGCACACTGCCAGGCACTTTTGGCTCTCCCAAGGTTTGGGATTGGGTAGAGGCTCAGCCCTTGGTGGCGCTGCAGCTGGAGCAGTTTCTTGCATACCCTGGTTGGCTGTGCTTAATGGGGTTTGCTTTGGTTCTGTGGCCCAGATGAGGACATTAAAATCAAACCACCTGAGTCATAGATGTCACTTACATCTATTAATGGTAGTAGAAGTAACTTACAAAGGCCACTAGAGGGCCGGGCAGATGGCTCAGCTGCTGACACACTTGGCACTCCAGCAATAGGACCTGAGTTCAGATTGCCAGAACCCACATAAGTGCTCTGTGAGCATGGTGGCCTGCTTGCAATTCCAGCCTCAGTCTCAGAAGTCAGATAGGGAACATCCCCCAGAAAGCTGCCTAGTGAGGCCAGTGATATCAGTGAGCTCTGGATTTGATTGAGACACTCTTCCTCAAAGCACAAGGATGAAAAGTGAAGAAGGAAGATTCCTGACATTAACCTCAGGCTTCCACACATGTTTGTGAAAACACATGCATGCATGCACATGCACTTGTGCAGGAGCGTGTGTGCGTGTGCGCACACACACGCACATACACACACACACACAAGACAAAGTCATAAAGAAGAAAGAAATGGTAGAGGCAGAATCTGAAAGGGAGGGTGAGATATACTTTGGGATGCAGAACCACGCAAAATGACCCTCCTGGAAGAAAGACCATGTCTTCTGCCAGGAGTGGACTTCTTCTAGAAGGCTTGTGAACCAGGGAGGGAGAAAAAGGGAGACTCCTGAAGACCAGAACAGTGATTAGAGTTGTTAAGATTAATTACGGAGGTCACAACCAGATCATTGGGGATGACTGCTATGACTGAAATCGAAAATAAACTTCGCTTCCTCTTGGGAGGGCACCTAAAACCATGCCGGCTCTCACATGGCTATGATGCAGGATTCTGTGACTTCATTAACTTAACCACTCTCGGCCTTGGTTTGCCAAGCTGAAAATGGCAGGTGTAATGGAGAGTCTCTAATACAGCTTGCCTCCAGCTTTCTGTGGTCAGAAATCCAGCATCCCGTGGACTAGAGTTCACACTGGCTCCAAAGATCAGGGAAAGCCACCCCTGAATGTCAGCTGTGTTAGATGTTTCCTCCTAGGCCCATCAAAATTGAGGCTTTCAGGACCAATCAATACCCTCCATTTAGGTGGCAGGTGCTGCCAAACCAAGCACTAAAGAGCCACATCCATGCTGGCATGCTTCCAGAACTATCTCCTGTGGTGAGCAGAGTGTAGCCACGACCGCAACCATACCACCACCAGACCCCAGAAGACCCACATGCCAGGGTTTGGAGCCTTCCAGTGTAGGGTTGATAGATCTCTATCTACAGATCTTTGAAAAGGAACAAGACCCTCATCAGACCTGCCCCACAAACAGGAACAGCTTCAGAAAGGCCTGTGATCTCCCAAGACCCCCTCATCTGACAGGAGGGTTTTTTTGGTTAATTTGTGATTTGCACATTGAATCAGACTGAGGGTTTGTGTGTGCTCTGTGCTCCTTACCCCTGCCCTAACTTCCTGTCCAGACTGTGGCCTGCCCTCAGGCTCTTTCTCTCCTGTTACCAGTGCTGGCTCTAGCCTATCTTTATTCTTACAATTTTATTCACACTATGGGATGAAAAATCCACATAGCTGGGTGTTAGACCCTGTGGTAACTGTTGTGCACAACCTGTAAGAGGAAGACACATGAAGGCCAGAGTCAGATGTTTTCATTAAGAAACACTTGGTAAAGGGGCCTTCCCATTAGCCCCACCCACTCACTGCCATATGTGCATGCAGTGGCACATGTATGTGCACTCGTGTGCGTGCGCACACACACACACACACACACACACACACACACACACACACACGGTAAGGAATGCCCTAACCCAACATGGTCTTAGACACCTGTACTCACTGGCTGCCTGCAGGCCGGGCAGGCCTGATCTGAATAGGACATCGGTGGACATCCTTGCAGCTCTCCTGTTTTCCTGCCCCTCAAGTGCATTCCCAGAGGACCCTTCCCTGTGGTCATGTGCTGAGAGGCAGCGCTGACCCCAGGTGGGGGCTGGGTTTTAGTGGTGTTTTAGTGGGAAGCTGAACGTGTGCTCTGACCCAAGAGAGGAGTGGGGATTTCTGGAGCCCAGATTACAGGGACTCTCAGGTAAGGTGAGTCAGAGGCCTCACATCACAGAGAGGTCAAACCTTATCCTGATGGGCAAGAGGCTGCAGCTGCTCCAAGGCTGGAACAACAGCCAAAAAAAAAAAAAAATGCTAAAACCTAACTGACCAAGATGGAGAAAGAGGGCAAGAGAAGAGGGCTGCTGGCCACAATGGAGGTGGCAATGAATGGAGACCATTTGCCAAAACCACTGGCTTTATGGATCCTACTCAGCCATGGAATTGAGTTCATGCCGTCATGCTATCAGAATTATCTGCAGTTCTGAGTAATACTTTTTAAAGATACGTATTTGGGGGAGGGGCATGTGCATTCCATGAGCATATGTGGAGGTCAGAGGTGAACTTTAAGGATCCATCATATGAGTCAAACTTAGGGCATCAGATGTGATGGGTGGCAAATGCCTTTACCCACAGAGTCACCTCTTAAGCCCCTAAGTAGCAGGGTTTTGTTATTGTTGTTTTCAAAACAGGGTTTCTCTGTGTATCCCCAGCTGTCCTAGAACTCGCTCTGTAGACCTGGCTGGCCTCAAACTCACAGAGATACACCTGCCTCTGCCTCCCAAGTGCTGGGATTAAAAGTGTGTGCCGCCACTGCCCAACAAGTATCGGTGTTTTATATCAGATTTTGCCAGAAAGTTTCAGGACCCTTTAAGTACACAGCCAGAGAACAGAAAGGAGAAAGCACAGGCAGAGATGCACACTGAGCCACAATGCTGATCTTTGGGGGCACAGTAGCAGCTCAGGCTGACTAGAACTTTCACACCTTGGTGAGAGCTCTGATCTTGGACACCAATGGTTGGTCACATAGCCTCTTTGGTGGCATCTGAAATGACAAGCCAATAAAGGGGCTGTTTTCGCTCTGGTTTTCCCATTGAGGAAAGCATGTATCGAGATGGGGTGTTCAGTCCTCAAAGGATCTGTTTGAAACTTACTTTGGTAAGTACGGGCTGGTTGCCACAGATTTTGAGCATGTGTTTGTGTGACAGCTCTACTTTTTTGGTCATCTTATGAAAGTTCACCATCTCTATTACCATTTCTATCAATCAAGTGGTCAGCTTTCTGCCACTATAACAAAATACCTGGGAAAATCAACTTAAGAAAATGAAAATGTTTATTTTGGCTCATGATTCTAGTCCATGGCTACTTGGTCTCATTGTTTGGGGCCTGTGGTGACACGGTACATCTTGGGATGAGTTTGTAACAAAAAAGGCTGCTGGGATCTGGCAGCTTAGGAATAAAAGACAGAGAGAATATCTCACTTGCCCCTTTTTCGAGATCCCAGCTCTTAAGGGTTCTACCTCTTCAAGTGCGGTGACCCGTGTTTGAGGCATCATCTGTCAGGTCCAGTCAAGATACAAGGAACAAACAAGCATAATTGCTCTCTCAATCTGAAAAACATTAAGTAACCACACCCTAAATAAATATCCTGTTGTCAAGGCAAGACTCACAATAGCCATAGCTTAGGCCAAACATTGCTGAAAGAGCAATGATGGGCTCGAACTCTCTGACCTTAAGTCATGATGAAATGGAACCACTTTTATGGGTCCTGACATTCAAGCCTTCAACATTTGTGCATTAAGACATGTCTGACTGGACATGAACCCCAGTGAAGCCTAAAGACTGCCTAGAACCGGAATCTCAGGTCCCCTACAGATTCTGAGAGAATGTTCCAATTTGTGCCCAGACTGTGACAGTTTTTGTTGGTGTTCTGACCTTGGGGTACCAAGAGCCTGCCTAGCCAGCCTTCAGCTGGTGACTATGTCAGTTCTACCCACCCAGTGCCCCTATATTTCTGCCTTCTTCTCCTCCCAAACCTTACCCAGTCCTTAGGATGGCACAGCGGACAGTGTCACTAACCAAAACCTCCCCACCTTTCTGCTCCTCCCAGAACGGGTTGAATGGTCTGCATCTGGCCTCTAAAGAAGGCCATGTGAAGATGGTGGTTGAACTACTGCACAAAGAGATCATTCTAGAAACAACAACCAAGGTAAGAAGCAGGGGTTTGGGCACTGAGAATTCCAGCCTGTGGAGTACCTTTGTGCATTTTCTCAAACCGCAGCTTGGAAACCAGAGGCCTAAACACGGTCCTGATTCCCAGGATGCTGCTCATCACATCCTGATTCTCTGAGTCCTGGGTGCCACCTGAAAACTCAGAACCCTGTTTCCAGAGAGTCAGTGGGCCTTTCTTCTACCCTCCTCACTGGATTCTGGAACCAGGACCCTTTTATGGTGGCCTCTTACTGCTTCATACAGGGATCTGGAGTTCTGCCAGCTCTAGAGTTAAGCCCCAGCTGAGATGCTTCCCGCTCTGTGACCTTAGGCAAGCTACTTGGTCACTGCAAAGTCTCAGTTTTCTCCCCTGTAAGTAGGGATGATGACACTTATTCACAGGGTTGGTTAATTAACTGAGTCATGTATATAAAGTACCTGGTATAAGAATTGGTCTTGAAATAGTGACAGTGATGATGTTGTCACTAAAAAACAAACCTGATCCTTCTGATTTGTCCTTCTGTAGAAAATTCAGCCCTAAATCTATTTCCTCCCTGACTGGTTACCTAAGGGAAGCACTCCCTTTTATCAGAAAGTGTTTAGCATAGAAGCATCAACTGGTAGATTCCAAAAAAATATCTTTTTTTTTTTCCTTGCATTGCTAGAAGTGGGACCCTGGTCTTCACACATGGTAAAAATGCAATCTACCACTGACCTGCACCCAAGCCCTAAAACAAGCTTTATTTCTTGTGTACATGCAACATGTTTATTAAAATAATCTCCTTTGCCATCCCCTGCTGTCCCCGTTCCCAGTTCCATGTCCCCACATTGCTCTCTATGCCCGAGTTGCTGTAACCTCTCATTTCCCATTGGATGCTTGTTAACTGGGGTCCTGAGCTCAGCCTCAATTTAAGCTCTCTGCAGCAAGCATTTTCGCCACCCTTCAGGCAGACAGCTCAGCTGAACAGTATGTAAGTAGCAGATATAATTTGTATGAAGTGAACTTCCAAAATATTATGAAGGTGGAATCCTTTCCCATGGTAAAATTCACCCATTTTCATGCCGTTCTCCGTTCACTCATGGGTGCAGTGAGTGGAGTTTTTGGGCTGCATTTGCTCCCCGCCCCTTGACAGAGATCAACTGTTTTACCTGTTCTTCCTGGGGACCAAGGGGTAGCTACTGACCAGCCACAAACCTGCAGCCTCCCTTCCCTGGCATTTCCCCAGAGCTGAGTAAATGGCACTCTTTCCAAACCCTCCCCTTTGGTTTTTATTTTGTGATGAATACTTACTTGGTAGATTGTATTTATAGACACTTCTAAGCCAGCAAAGTTTTAGAAGGCCACAGAAGAAGAGGGGTAGCAAAGGTGAAAGTCAAACCTTAGCCTAGGGAAGACTCAGCTTGTGAAATTGTCATGGGTCTCCTGGGCTTAGGAAAGATTAGAAATAAAAAGAAACTGAAACCTGCCCCAGTTCCTAGCTGGGCTCATGCTGGAAAAGTCAAAGGTGGACACCCTAGCTCCTTGCCTCCCTATTCAACCCAGAACCCAGAACCAGATTCAGGGTGGGTAAGGGACAAGGAAACCCACGTCACCCCACAAACTCACACAGCTCAGACCCAACCCTCCTCTTTCTGTAGGTCCTATGGCTCCTTAAACATGGAGAAATGGGTGTTTTTAAATGAAGATATAATTAAAACATCTGCTTCTTCGTTAACACAGAGGACAGAGGACCACATCCCTGTCATGTGACCGCCCCATAGGTCCAGGGGCCTTCTTGAGGCTTGCAGTTGGTGTGTGTTTGTGTATGAGAGAGAGAAAGAGAGAGAGAGAGAGAGAGAGAGAGAGAGAGAGAACGAGTCTGTGTGTGATATGTGCTCTGTGTGTGAGGTGTATGTACCTATGTGTGTGGGTGTATGTGTCTCTCTGTGTGTGAAGTGTATGTGTCGCTGTGTGTGTGAGGTGTATGTGTCTGTGTGTGAGAGAGGTATGTGTTTGTGTTTGTGTGTTTGACTCTGTGTGTGTGTGTGTGTGTGTGTGTGTGTGTGATGTATCAGGCAGGCAGGAGAGAACATTGTTCCCTGTGACAGGCTGGGTATAGACACAGATGATTCTGCCTTGGGCTTTCCCAACGAGCATCTTTGTTTTCCTTATCCTCTGTCCCTTGCCTCTGTGTTTCAGAAGGGGAATACTGCTCTGCATATCGCTGCCCTTGCTGGTCAGGATGAGGTGGTCCGGGAGCTGGTCAACTATGGAGCCAACGTCAACGCCCAGTCTCAGGTAATGGCTCTCTCCCTCTCTCTCTCTTTCTCTCTCTCTCTCTCTCTCTCTCTCTCTCTCCACACACACACACACACACACACACTGTATCTAGGATTAGATTTATTATTGCCGCATTTCCAAGGAATGATACAGGAATTCTGTGTTAATTTTCGAAGGCTAGACTGCACACCCTTAGCATGGAGAGTTGGTCATTGTGGACTCCATCTTGGTTCAGTAGACTAGAGAAATCACATATTATGCATGGATCATATGAATAGGGGTATAAGGCTTGGTTGGTTGGTTGGTATAAAAAGAAAATAAAAGCAGATAGATGGATCAGCCGTTAAGGGGATGTACTGTCCCCAGCACACCAAATCAGGTGGCTCACAACCACCTGCAACTCCAGCTTCAGGGATCTGACACCCTGGCCTCTCCATTCATGTGCATACACCCACACATCACAGATATACATATATACATAATTAAAAACAAAATAACTTTTTAAGTAGAGGAGGATGTTTGATCTAGGGACTCATTCAGAAGAGGCAGGGCAAAACACTGCAATGGAGCCATCTCTCCCTCTTGGCCTTTGGGACTAAGTTTCCAGAGGTAGTGGTTTTGTCTCCAGGGCAAAGTAAGGTGTGAAGAGAGAGCCCACATCTCAAGAGAGAGGATTTACAGCTGTCTTCATGTCTCTCCCACTATTTTTAATGGCTTCTTCTTTGGGTTTACAGAAAGGCTTTACTCCCTTATACATGGCGGCCCAGGAGAATCACTTGGAGGTGGTGAAGTTTTTGCTGGAGAATGGAGCCAATCAGAACGTAGCCACAGAAGTAAGGTTCCTTTGGGAAATGTGCCCTGAGCTGCAAGTGTCTTGAAATGATAATGGTACACAGTCAGACTGCAAACAGATGACGCCCATTCAGACCTCCTTAGCACACAGTCAGACTGCAAACACATGGTACACACAATCAGATACCCTCATAGCACACAGTCAGACCCTCACAGCACACAGGCAGTCCTTACCTGAAGCACAAGGTAAAGGAAAACTGAGTGCAGGGGAGGAAGAATACAGATACTTCAGGAGGACAGAGAAGAAAGCGGGACTTCAAGGAAGAGCTGAGCTTGGAGGATGCAACAGGCTTTGAATCCCATCTTTGCTCTCCCCCGACCAGGATGGCTTCACTCCGCTGGCTGTGGCTCTACAGCAGGGACACGAGAATGTGGTGGCTCACCTCATCAACTATGGAACGAAGGGAAAAGTGCGCCTCCCTGCCCTGCACATTGCAGCCCGCAACGATGACACACGGACAGCTGCAGTACTTCTGCAGAATGACCCCAACCCAGACGTGCTCTCCAAGGTGAGGGAAGCCAGTATGCATGCCTGTGCCAGGGAGGGCAAGCCGGGCCGCCGGAGGTACCTGTTGTTCCAGGTGTTTTTTTCCAAGGCCAGAGCAGATGGGAATGAACCAGCTGTGCCTTTAGCACTCAGTAGCAACGTAGACGGGCTGGAGATCCCTCAGGTTCCCAGAGGAAGCTGAGGCAGTACTGAGATGGTTCTGGCTTACTGGTATCCAAAACAGCACCCAGGAGGGCAGGGTGGGCCTCCATCCAGAATGAAGCTGCACCTCAGAGGGGACTCTGGGTTGTCACCCTCTTCTTACCCTGTGCCCTTGATGGATGAGGTAGTCATCGTGTCCAGGAAGAGCAGGAAGGCACAAAGTGGGGTTCCTGGAGCTGGGACATTTAAAGTGTTACTAACCACTGTTCATTCAGTTAGGCCACTGGTTGTCCCTCAATCAGCTAAATTGCTTGACTTGCTCTCACCATCCCTCCCTCCACCTATTCTACCCCATGCCTGTTGCTGAGGTTTGTCTGGATGTGTTCTAAGCATATAGAGCAGGGTGACAGTAGTGAACCTTCTGGCCAGAAAGCTGAGCCATGAGCCCTTCACTGATGACTACAAGCTCATGAGAGGTGGTCTTGGTTTATAGTTTGCCTTGGCCATAAAACAAAGAGTAGAAGTCACTCTGAGGTGGCACTAAGCCTTTAGCTATAGCTGGTCATGGGGGCATTTCTCCACCCCTTCCATAGACATTGCCATTGGCCAGAGCCTGCTTTGTGTTTTGGGCTCTGTGGCCCTGTTAACATGTATAGAAACTCTGGGCTGGATCTGGGCTGGAGGTGCTGGTATGTGACAAGCCATTCTCTCCTCTGTTGTGCCAGACTGGATTCACACCCCTCCACATCGCAGCTCATTATGAGAATCTCAACGTGGCCCAGCTGCTCCTCAACAGGGGGGCCAGTGTCAACTTCACACCTCAGGTAATCTCACTGGAGCCCTCTGTACTCAGTCCAAAGTTTGGGGTGCCTCTTCCTCTCTCACATGCCCTCTCTAGCACCTTGGAATCTACACATGTCTCAGAAATGCTTAAGAGGCCAGAGGCCCAGTGACTATTTAAGACCTTCAGCTAGGAAATTACTGATCAACTGCCCCCCCCATTCCCAGAAGCATTGTCTGGAAGAAATTCAAAGGGGACCTTTGCAAATGTCTGGCATTCTCCCCATCTGCTACATTACTCTGGGGGATGTGGGCTTGGCCAGCTTAGTACGATTAGCCACAGTACCATCAGGTCCTCATAGGTCCTTCCTCTTCCTTAGGTGAGATGTGTTTCCATAGTTAAAGTGGCTGCTTATTCTAGGGCAGTCTGGAGATGAGGGCAGGGTCTAGGGAGTGGTGTGCACACTGCCACCATCCAAAGAAAACCTGATCTGATGGCCCCCTATTTATTCCTCCAGAATGGCATCACACCCCTGCACATCGCCTCCCGCAGGGGAAATGTCATCATGGTGAGGCTCCTGCTGGACCGAGGGGCTCAGATAGAAACAAGGACCAAGGTAGGGGTCAACAGCCCTCTGGGTCAGGGTGGGGTGAGTCCTGTCCTTGAGTCTCTCTGGTAACAGGTTCTCAATGTGTCACCTGCCTCCCTGAGTGGTCTGGGTTCAGCAAGAGACAGTGACAAAACTGCCTGAAGGCCATATTGGAACTTCCTTCCACATCTGGGAAAGATACTGCAGACAGGCTTGTGCACCAAGCCACTGATGGCTGTCTTTGGGGCTTTCTGTTTTTCACTGTCTTATGAAGGATGAATTGACACCGCTCCACTGTGCAGCTCGGAACGGACACGTGAGAATCTCAGAGATCCTGCTGGACCATGGGGCACCCATCCAAGCCAAAACCAAGGTGTGTGCTCCTTCTTGGTATGCTGTCTTGTAGGCCACACTCCAAGTCAGGTAGACATTTCTTGTTGCTATGATAAAATACCTTATAAATCCGACTTAAGGAAAGGGGGGTTCGTGGTGGCTCACAGTTTTAGGGGAGATGGTCCCTCATGGCGATGAAGTCGTGGCAGCAGGAGTAGAAGGTCACAGAGAAAGACAAATGCTGGTGCTTAGCTGTCTTTTTCCTTTGTGTTCAGTCTGGGGTCGCAGTCCAATGGAGGATGGTGTCACCCACATCCAGGGTGGGCAGTCCCTCTTCATTTAAACCTCTCTGGAAACACCCCCATAAGCATGCTAGTATTTTTCTGACAAGTTGACAATCCTGGAGATTAATCATCACAGCTCCACCCTCTGTCAGCCTGACACCCAAGCACATCACAGTAACATTCCATCGCAGCTACCAAAGTCTGCTTTACATCTCATGATGCAAAATGCATTTAATCCTTCTCTAAATATCCTCACAGTCTTTAATAGTCCCCATACCACAGAGAATGCAGAGTCCTGGGATACAGAGATGGCACCAGTGTTTAAGAGAGCATTTTGCTCCCCTGGGGGACCCACACTCAGTTCCCAGCACCCATATCAGGCATCTCACAACTGTCTGTAACTACACACACACACACACTCTCTCTCTTTCTCTCTCTTTCACACACACACTCACACACACACACACACACTCTCTCACACACACACACACTCACACACACACACACTCTCTTTCTCTCTCTCACACACACACACTCTCACATACACACACACACATACACACACACACGCTCTCTCTCACATACACACACACACAACACACAGAGGCACATACACACACACTCACACACACACACTCACATACACACACACATAATTTAATTTTTATTTTAAATAATTATTTTTATTTAAATGTATGTATATTTGCCTACATGTATGTATGTGTACCACATGCATGCCTGCTGCCCACAGAGGCCAGAAGAGGTTGTCAGATCTCCTAGACTACAATCACCAATGGTTGTGAGCCACCATATAGGTCCTGGATATCAAAATGCTCTTAACCACTGAGCCATCTCTCCAGACCTTAAAACGTTTTTTTAAGGGAGTGCAAAGTCCCAAGTCTCTTCTGAGACTCAAGACAGTCTCTTAACTGTGGTCCCACTACAGTCATAGCAAGTTCACTTCCACTATGCCATGGTATAGAGTAAACATCCCCTTCCAGAAGCAAGGAAAGATCCGACTATGCCAAGACTAGAACCCAAAGCCTACAGCTCTGTGTCCCACATCTGGCCTCATGTTGAGATTATATATATATGTCCTAGTCCTCCAGCTCCACTGCCCTGTAGTCTTTCTCTTGAGGCTTTCCTCAGAGGATATCCACATTGCACCCAACACTTCATCTTCATGACTTCATGCCATGGCCTCCCAGGGCCTCCTTGCAGAGACTCTGACCCTGCCTCACATTGTTTTGCCTGAGTGGTCTCTAGAACCATGGCACAGGACTCTAAAACCCCCCATTCTTGCATCTTTTGTGTCTATAAAGCTGTCACATGGACAGCACTGCCCAGCCATGCTGCCAGCCTGGGACACAGCCCAGACCCCCTGGAGCACAGTTGCATTGGCCTCAGAGTGTCTCCCAGGATGCTCCCTAAAAGTTGTGAGCAGGGAACCCCTGATCAGTGACTCTCCCCTTACAAATGAACTTGCATTTCCAGAGGTGGGATTTTCAGCATTCTCTTGCCCTGGGAGCATCTTCCTATTGTCTTGGATTAGAGCAAGATGGGTTTTTGTTTTTGGTTTTTATTTTAATGCTTTAACAATTACAGCTGCTTTTTTTCTACCACCTTGTCTACAACTCTAAAATCACTTATGAACCTTTTTCTGCTGAACTACACATTTTTGTATCTTTCTCTTCTTCTTTGTGTTGTTCTTTATCTCTCACTATAGACCTGCCTAAAGTAACCATGACAACACCTGAATGCTAATTTTTAAATTTCTTCTGCCCAACAAATTCATCTGCTACTTTGTGTTCAGCCTCACCCAATTTCTCAGGACATGGTAGAAAGAAGACAGATCCTTTGGCAGAATATACACGAAAGGGAGCTTGTTCCTCTCTGAAACCTCATGAGCTGGGCTATCACTACCTGCATTCAGCCCTCTCAGCATCCTGGTCTCCCGAACTCTCACAAGCAGGCCCCATTAGGCCCAATTTATATCATTCTGGGACTTCTCTAGCCCAATCTACTACATTTCTCTTGCTTGGCAGTTCCAAAGGCCTGGGAATTCTGTGTCAGGGTTAGCACGGACACTGTGTGCTTTGTAGCACCACTTTTTCTGTACTAGCTACTTTTCTTGTTGCCAGGACAGAATGTATGGCAAGTTCAGGAAGGGAGAGTCTGTGATGGCTCACAGTTCAAATTTAAGTCTATCATGGTAGGAAGGCCTGGAGGCAGGCGCATGAGGCAGCGGGTCATGTGACATCCAAGTAGGAAATAGAGGTGAATGCTGGTACTCAGCTCCCTTTCTCCTTTTGTAGTCAGTCCTGGACCTCAGCCCACAGGGTGCTGCCTCCCATATTTGGATCTTCACTTCTTACTTAAACTTTTCTATTAATACTTTCAAATATACCAGGGGTATTTCCATAGTGATCATAAATCCAGACACATTGACAATGGATATGAATCATCACACATACCAAGGATCACATTTCTGTAAGATCAAAGATGTTGATTGTAAGTGTGATTGTACAAATGACATCTATTGCAGTATCTGCCATACTGGAGGCAAAACTTCTTATCTAGGTCAGCAGTCAGCAAACTTTTTATCTAAAAGCCCAGGTAAGCAAATATGTTTTGGTTTTACAGTTTCGTTGCTGTAAATAAACTCTGCCAATGGGGCAGAAAAATATCCACAGACAATAGGCAACCAAGTGGCCATGTCCCAGAAGAATATTGTTTACGGGCTGGGGAGATGGCTCTGTGGTTAAGAACACTTGCTGCTCTAGTACAAGGCATAAGATTAGTTCCCAGCACCTACATCAGGTGTCTTACAATCTCCTGTAACCAACAGCGTCAGGGAATCTAACAGCCTCCTCTGGCTTCTGTGAGCACTGGCATGCATTTGTGCATACACACACAGACACACATGTATGCATAATAAAAATTAAAGGAAATATTAAAAGAGTATATACAAACCCGAATGACATGCTGGATTTGGCCCACAGCTTCAGTCTGCCCATTTCTGCTCTAAAATGGCCCCTATTTCTTCCACCCTAGCTCCTAAAAGGACAAGAGCTAAGCCTTTAAGAAGTCCTCAGAGCCTAGGAAAGATAGGAGACATATTTAAAAATGGTTAAAACCATTTCAGTCAAGCTCCAGGAGAAGCTGGAGGAAGGCTCATCTCTAAGTTCTAGTGTGTGAACACAAGTCTTCCAGGAAAAGCAAAAGGTATTGGCTACACAGGGCTTCCTCCATCCTTGTTTAATTTCAATAAATTAAGACAATTCATCTAAAGCAAAAGCCAGGCCCATTCACAACCACAGACATGTGTCTGATAGGGAAAAAGGAGAAAGGGATTTAGAACCAAGTCCTAGGGCTGGCTAGAGAAGATGACACAGAGCCTGATTTGGGGCCTCACTACCCATGTAATGAAGCCAAATATAACTATGTGTGCACTTTAGTCTTAGGGATGTGGGGAACAGAGACAGGGTCACCATAGCCTGCTGGCCTCCTGTGTTAAATCCAGGTTTGGTAAGAGATCCTGTCTCAAGGGATTAAAGCAGAGAATGATAGAGCAAGATATCTAACATCCTCCTCTGGCCTCTGAGCATATGCAAAGGCCATGCACAAAAACTTACAACACGTGCACACACACACACACACACACACACACACACACACCAAAATGAAGAAAATATATCCAGACTAGTGAGATAGCTCAGTGAGTAAGGGTTCTTGCTACCAAAAGTTATAGCCTGAATTCAATCACCAGGACTCATATGGTAGAAAGAGAATCTGATGCCAGCAAGTTGTCCTTTGACAGTGTATGACCACACATACACCATGGTACAGACATGCCTTCCCACCACCCCACAAACACACACAATAAATAAATGCAATTTTTTTCAATTAAACATTTTAAAGAGATACAAAGCCTGTTTTGTTGTCCTTTATCCACTCAAAGGCACATTAATTAAGGCCCACCACACATGTTGCATGTGTTTAGTGGGCCCTGTGAGCATTTGGGAAGAATGAGGTAGAGCTTGTAATTAAGAGAAAAGCCATGCCCAAGATGGCGCTGCAAATTAGATGATTTGGCAAAGGTGAAAATGAGGTCAGACTGAGCTTACAGAACAGACGAGCAAAGCCTGAGGAAGTCCAGGGAGGCCGGGGAAGCCTTCCTGGAAAGTGTGGGGCTGGCTGGAAAGGCTCGAGGATTCTTCGTCCAGGTGGGAGAGAACATTTTGTCAGAGCCAAGCTCATTTGGGATCCACACTGAAGAACGGCGTAGACCAGGTGGAAGTGGCATTGCTGTCACTGTCCTGAGTCCTATGCCCTGTCCCCAGAAGCTTTGTCATTGCTTTATTTCTCTTCCTCCAGAATGGCTTGTCCCCAATTCACATGGCGGCTCAGGGAGACCATCTCGACTGTGTCCGACTTCTATTGCAATACAATGCAGAGATAGATGACATCACCTTGGATCACCTGACTCCTCTCCACGTGGCAGCCCACTGTGGTCACCACAGGGTGGCTAAGGTTCTTTTGGATAAAGGGGCCAAGCCAAACTCCAGAGCCCTGGTGAGAGGAGTCTATTGTAGGAGTGCTGCTAGGGAGAGGGAATGGGGGAATGGGGAGTGTGTGTGTGTGTGTGTGTGTGTGTGTGTGTGTGCGTGTGTGTGCGCGCGCGCGTGCGCGCATGGGTGCCACTAGGGGCAGCACCATAGGCAAATGTGCATAGTGTGTCTGTGTCTGTGTGTGTCTCTGTGTGTTTTTATACTGTAATCCACATCTAGGGGGTGTGGCTTCCTGTACTCGTGACCAAATCTTCAGCAATAGGCTGAGGTCCTCTGTGGTTTAACCCAGGAGATCTGATGATGGAAGTGATGTTTATGATGTGCGTGCGGGTTCAGGGGCCCCAGCCAGACCCAGAGCTGAGAGGCAGTAACATCTTAGAAGCAGGCCTGGCCTTTAGCTGCTTTGGGGTGAGGATGCACTGGCCTGACCTGAGCACATCTCCTCTGATAGATCTGTGCCACAGCCCTGGGAGGCACCAAGTTCAAACCTAAGGCAGAGTGTTCCTATTGCTGTGCTCCTTGCCTTCCTCCTCAGGCCTGAGGCCACAAAGGTTGTTCAAAGATCCATAGAGCATGTCCAGGACCTTTGCCTCACACTTGTCCAGGCTCAGAAGAGAACTGAAGGGACAGGTACCTTCCAGAGGCAAAAGACAGAGCATCCATTCCTTCAAACATGCTTGCACTGAGCACAGAGCAGTCACTGAGGAATCACCGAGGCTCCCTAAGCATGGGGCTGTTGACATTGGGGTTGAACTGTGCTGTCCTGTCTATGGCAGGGTGTTTGGCACCATCCCTGGCCTCTAGCCACTAAATGGTAGTAGTTCTGCAAAGGCATGACTACAACCCCACCCTCACCCCCAGAAAACTGACTTTGTTTGGGAAGTGCTACTCTATGAGGTACAGAAGAAGTAGACAGACACACAGAACTGTCCCCATGGAAGGGTGTCCCCGGTGTAACATGCTGAAGAGCCGAATCCATTTCACTCAGCGTTAAGCAGAAAGGAACTGGTTTGCCTCCAAAAAGTTCTTTTAGTGTTTCCAGAAATATGACAGAATTTTCTTAAATGTTCCCAAACATCATGCTCAGAAATATGCTTGATGTGTAAAGAGAGGGAACACCTGTACATTGTCTGCTCATGAAGTGACATGTTCTATGAGTGGTTGCTGGTGGGCCGGGAAGGGGCAGGATTCCTTTCCAGTTCGTTGGCTACTGTCTGAGTTGTGGATCTGTGTGCTTTGTGTGGGCTACAGAATGGCTTCACCCCCTTACACATTGCCTGCAAGAAGAATCACATTCGTGTCATGGAGCTGTTGCTGAAGACAGGGGCCTCCATCGATGCAGTCACTGAGGTAGGAGAAAGCATAGGTGTGCCTCCAGCCCCGCCCCTCCATGGCCTTACCTGGGTATTCTTCACAGCTATGTGTGGCTGCAGGTGTGCAGGTCTACATGAATGTACACATGCACATTTGTATGTCAGCACTTCCCAAAAGGGGCTGGATCAAGGTGACTCACCGACAAGAGGACTTTTCACGATGGGAAACGATTGAATTGTAAAGTGACAACACTTTTCTGCCAGTGCTTTTGTCCCTGTGGTCATTTTCCTGAGAGCATGCCCACCTGCTTTCAGTCCATTTTCTCGGGTGGCCATTCGTAGAGCTGTCCAGCTACAGAAGAGCATAAGATACTGTGACTTGCTCTTCCATGTGGAGATAGCTCCTGCTCACCACATTCCCCTTGTCTCTTCTAGTCTGGACTGACACCTCTCCATGTGGCGTCCTTCATGGGACACCTTCCTATTGTGAAGAACTTACTACAGAGGGGAGCGTCACCCAATGTCTCCAATGTGGTAAGTTCTTGAAGACAGTGAGAGCTCTTGGCTCTGAGGGAAGCTGTGGAAGGGGTCCTGTCTTCTCTGCCCACAGAAATGGGATTCTCAGGATAGCGGGGTGAACATTCCTCTCTATTGATGCTCCCGCAGTTAAATTTGTCACACAACTGTACATCTTTAGAGTTTTATTTTGGAACTTCTATAAGTGCAATCTGGAAGTACATCCCCACATTTGAATATTCATTAACTCAAAGGTTTACTTTCACATTTACCTAGACTACCAAAGGAGAGAAAGAGAAACAGAGACAGATTTGGCTGGGCAGCTCCGGCTCTTGAACAAAATCCTACCAAGCCCAGGCAGCAATCTAAGTTCAGCGTGTGTCCTTTTGCAACCCCAGCATGTGTTAACAGTGATATAACTTCATTATTTTGCAGAAAGTAGAGACCCCGTTGCACATGGCAGCCCGAGCAGGGCATACTGAAGTGGCCAAATACTTGCTCCAGAACAAAGCCAAAGTCAATGCCAAGGCCAAGGTGAGTTCCGGAGGCAGGAAAGGAAGGGTCCCAGGGTCACTCCAGCCTGGTGAAAGGAAGCCGTTCTCATCAGAGGCCAGGGGTTCACAGTCAATGCCACTCCCACAAGTGTCACACTGAAAGCTCTGGTCCTGCTTTGCTGGTGTTCCCAGAGGAGCAGAGATAGTCTTGCCCCAAAGCTGTGTTTCTGTAGAGTAAAAAAGCCCAGGGAGCAGGGCTGGCCTGCAGCATTAATGGGGCTAGTGAGTAGATGTGACTGAAGGAAAAGTCAGTAAGACGGTGTCAGCCAGGGATTCACTTGCTCTAACAGTGGAGGATCCCCTGTTTTTTACTGGATGGTGAAAAGAACAGGATCAGCTACCAACTTTGCAAGACAGGCTGTGTGGCAAAGGCCAGTGCTCTGCAGGAGACAGGTTACTTTGAGCAGCTGTATTTTAGCCCAGTAAAAAATATGCTATCCTTGGAGCCCCGTGCACCAGGAGCTGTAGCTGGAAGTTGGGAAAGAGTGGGATAAATGTCTGTCCCCCCAGATTCAGTGGTTTGGTGCCCCATGAGAGTTCAAACATAAAGCAAGCATGTTAGGCAGAAAGCTTGGATACAGGGCTCGTTGGAATAGCGATCCATTTACTGAGTAGCTTCTCTGTGCCCGACAGCATGAACCCTCTGTGTCTATTAGCTGCTTGATTTGAGCCCTATGAAACAATGCTACAATTCCTTCTTACAACTAGGGAAGCTGAACCTTTGAGCAGTTAAGTAGCAATAACCTTGAAGCTGGTGGTTGTAAGAATTTAATGAAGTAGAGCATATTATTTTCTGTAACTCAGAGACTGGAAGAAATTCCAAATCTTTTTACTCATGGCTGAGTCACTTGCACTCTGTGGGTCTCACCTCCCGCCCCTGGGAAGGCTGACATTTCCAGTTCTGTGTTTTTACCTGGGGTTCAGGACGACCAGACACCGCTTCACTGTGCGGCTCGCATCGGCCACACAAGCATGGTGAAGCTCCTGTTGGAGAATGGCGCTAGCCCCAACCTGGCTACCACTGCGGGCCACACGCCCCTGCACACGGCAGCCCGTGAGGGCCACGTGGACACAGCCCTGGCCCTTCTGGAGAAGGAAGCATCCCAAGCCTGCATGACCAAGGTACAGTCAGTCACATAGCCACTGTTCCAGCTCTTAAAAAGCAAGAGGCTGGCAAGGGTTAGGGGCCTACCTGTGATCACAGCAGCCAGAAAGCTGAGACCGGAGCATCCCTTTAGCCCAGGAGCTCCAGGCCAATCTGGGCAACATAGCAAGCCTGGATCCTAAAAGAACGAAAACAGAAACCAAACAAAAACAAACCCCCACATATTTTTTCAGAAACAACAGATGAGGCCTGGGGCTCTGAAGTGAATCCCCACCTACTTCGTGGTCATGGGACACTGCAGGCCCATTATGTCATATTCCCCAGAAAGGGGCAGTCAGTCAGTTCTCTGCTATGACCCGGGTTTCTTCTATTTCCCCTGCAGCAGTTAACTTGCTGGACATTTGCTCAGGTTCCTAGGATATAGGAAGGATCAAAGGGCTCAAGGACTGGGAAGTAGCTTTATAAAGGGGTACTTGCCAGGCATTCGCAAGGCTCCAGGTTCACTCTGCAAAAGATAACTAACTAAATAGGTGAGATCCTAATGAACCGAGTGACACACACCTGTGATCCAATACTTCAGAGAATGGAGCAAAGAGATCTGAGGTTCAAGGCCTGCCTGGGCCCCTTGTTAAGATGGTCTCCAAAGGAACAATAATAAGTCAAAGGGACAGCCCCTGCCTCCCTCAGTCAGCAAGCAATTGACAATAAGAAGCAGCCTTCTCTTGCTTCTCGTATGAGAGTTCTTGCAAGGACCAAAATACTCAGGTCCTTCTGTCACATTGGCAATCCCATGTTGTTAGGGCAGGAAGAGTCCTAACCATGCCTTCCATTGGCTCCCATGGTCCTGATGGCCTGTGTTTCTCCTTAGAAAGGATTTACCCCTCTCCATGTGGCCTCTAAGTATGGGAAGGTACTGGTGGCCGAACTGCTCCTGGAACATGATGCACACCCCAACGCGGCTGGAAAGGTGAGTGTGAACTTCTGCCTCCTCTTGAGTTAGAGGAAGGGACAGACTTCCTCACTGGGAGTCACCTCCCATGCCTGGGTAGCCTTCCATAGAGAATGGTCTTTGGAGAAAGCAAACTTTGTCCATTAGAAGGACCTGGTGCTGTCTGAACAAGTGTGTTGATTTCATGGCCCACCTCCCCAACAAGGATGAAGAAATGGCCCTAGATCCTGCCGGAGCTGTCTTTCAGTGACTCTCCTTCAAGACTGGCTTTAGGCACAGTTTTGCTTCTGTTTTCCTTTTTCTACAGTATTGATGATAGAACCCAGTGCTAGATTGTATGCTAAACAAGCCCTCTACTATTGAGCTACACCCTAGCCTTAAATAAGAGATTTATTTTCATTTTTGTTGTGGTAAAATGAAACCTGGGGCTTACACATGCTGGCCAAGTGCTTTACCACTGAACTACACCCAGCCCATGTTGGGCTAGCTGTTTCCTGTGAAAGAAGTACCATGAATTGAAGAGTGGATCTTGGTTGTCTAAATGGTCCCTCACAGAAGTGAAGCTGTTCATTTTCCCTCTGCTTTGTCACTCTGCAGAATGGCTTGACTCCCCTACATGTAGCCGTCCATCACAACAACTTGGACATCGTCAAGCTTCTACTTCCCAGAGGTGGTTCCCCGCACAGCCCTGCCTGGGTAAGGCCCCTATACCAGCTCCTGTCTAAGCCAGTGGTTCTCAACCTTCCTAACTTTGTGAACCTTTAATGTGGTCCTTCATGCTGTGGTCACCCCCCAACCATAAAATTACTTTTGTTGCTACTCCAGAACTATAATTTTGCTACAGTTATGAATCGTGATGTAAATATCTGGTATGCAGGATATATATGATATGCAACAGCCCCTGTGAAAGGTTCATTCAACCCCAGTGGGGCCAGCAAGTTGATAATGGCTACCCTAAAGTGACCTCAGAGGTTTCGTTTTTGACTCTGTAAACAGAGAGACATCACAACACCTTCACAAATACTACCTGCAGGATCATAGCTGCTATCTGAGGGCTCATAGGTTGGGAAGTGGGTAATATTTTTCTGTCAGAAGGTCCCTCACAATGATGGGATTCAATTTACACACTGCATGTCCCCATCCCTACCAGCTACATTTCAACTGTGTTTTGTAAACTGATGGTCAAAGGTCTTGTGTGTGAGCATCTTCCTGGAGCCCCATGTTCTCAGAGCTGTTACTTGGTGGGACTGTGGCCCACTGGAATGTCTTATTCTGTGCCTGTTTCCAATATTCTGGTACTGTGTGCAGAGGCCATACCTCTCTGGGCCTTGAAGCAGAGTCCCATCTGACTGTAGGGGTCTCTCCAGTTTGTTTCTATTTTTGAACATAGACACTGTAATAGGGGTTTAACCCCTCCGTGTTCTGCAGTGGTTGCAGGTCTGACTTCTGAAATGCACTGCCAAGAATAGGACTCTGTGACCCTTGAGGTGTGAGGGAAGGGGAATTAAAAACATCAAAAACAAAAAACAGAGGACCGAGGAGCCTTTTGGATACCAGATTCCCCCTGGAGCAAGGTGGGGTTTGTATCTGTGAGAGGCGAGAGGAAACTATTAGACTGGCCAGGGGCAGAGTCAGGGCCAGCATAGAAGAGATGCCCATGGTCCCTACACCAGGTGTCCTACCTTCTGACAGGGCAGCCTGAGGATGATTGATGACAGAGTTCAGTCACACAGAGCAGGAGCTCCAGTGCTGCCACCAAGGGGATGGTCATCCAGTGGGTCACTGTGATTCAGCGGACACCTGCCAGTTTCACCAGTGGGGAGGGGACTGGATGGCCTCAGCTTTTTTTCTCTGCTCAGGATAATGCACACCTCAACTCCCAGCATCCATCTCCTGCAGATACAGCAAGCCTCAGGAAGCCCTTGTCTCCCCGGGCTTCGCCCCTACTCCTGTCTCCTGTGGTAGCGAGCCCTACGTCATTGTGCAGAGGCAGCACACAGCCGGCTAAGATGTTGACTTACTCCTGCTTCTAAAAATAAGAAACCGGACTCCCCTCCTCCTCCTCATTCCCACTTATATAAACGGAGCTGGAGCCAGGTTCATGATATTTAAAGAGAGCGAAAGGCAGCTCAAAGCCTGCACAGATGGGGTTTGTTTCCATGGCAAAAATAGTTTCCAAAGTAGTCTGGCAATTTTGTAGAATTTCACAGTAAATCCCTTTGCACCCAAACCAAACTCTCCCCTCCTCGGTCTGATGCTAACAGATTCCCTCCCGTGTGCATTCCTTCTCTGAGCTCATCTCCTTGGAGAAAAGGGCTTCTTACTGACATATATCCCTGCCTGACCTCTCCCTGGTGCTCTGACCTAGTTGCCATTTCTCCTTGTCACCCACAAAAGCTCATCATTCCTTTGGTCCTGGTTTGAGGGACACTCTGATGGTTGGTCCATGCTCTGAGATAGTCAGTGACTCATATCTTCCATTTTAACCCAAGGTGACCTGGAAGATTTAGCTGTCTCTAGGGTGAGTTTGTGCCTGACAAATCAGTGTCTTGTCTGTTCATGCCAGTGTGTTAGATACCCACAGCATCCCAAGTGACCTGGGGCTCTGATGGTACATCCACAGATGTACTGCAAAAGTCTTAGTGCCTTGGGGGTATTTTAAAAAAAAAAGCCCTAAAAAGCCTTGCTTTGCTGTAATGAATGATTGTCCTTGTTTCACTAAGACATCCCAACCAGCAATGTTGGTGGACCATCAGTAATAAAGTGGGTAGCAAGCAAAAGCCCACAGACAGCTAGAGGAATGCTAGCCAATGTGGGAAAGCCCATGTCTGGAGACAGTTGCACACTGTTGCTGTGTAGGCTGGGTGGGCATAGGTTCTGGAGGTCATGGATCCTGTCATGGAAGCCTCCTGGCTTAGCAGTCCTCCATTCTGAATATTCCAGGGCCTGGCTACTCAAAGTGTGGTTTGTGGACCAGCAACCTCAGCACCACCTGGGAGCTAGTTAGGAACACAGACCCTCGAGCCCTGGCTAGACCTTCTGGATCTAATTCTGCACTAAACAAGGTCTCAAGTGCTATGCATACCAATCATAGTTCAAGAAGTCAACAGGACCTCGGGTCCACTGTTTGTTAAAGCATATCACCTCTCAGAGAGAGAACCATCACAAAATAGGAAATAATCCAGATGCCTGCCCTCCTTACTGTGAGTGCTTGGAGTGATGCTCCAGTAAGATCATGAAGCAGTTTCTAGCAAGGTCACCAACTGACCCTATCAGCTGTCTACTGTAAGACGAGGAGCTCACTCGCACTAGATACCGACAATGTTTTGCTACCAAAAATGCATAAATAAATAAAATTTAAAGCCGAAAGTGGTAGCTTACACCTGTTTTTGCAGCACTTGAGAGTCTGAGACAGGAGACCTGCCTCAAGCTTGAGGCCTGCCTGGGCTATACTGTATTTCCAGGCCAGCTTGGACTAGGGAGTGAGACCCTAGTAGAGAATGACATAGTTAACTGGCAAGGCCAGCACATGCCGACATAGTTAACTGGCAAGGCCAGCACATGCCATCCTGCCTTGCCCAGCGATATATGTATGGCAAAGCCGCCACACACGGCTGCACTGTTCTCATGTCATAATCTTGGAAAACACTTCCTTGCAGGTACGTAATTGTATTTGATCCACCCAGAACTTTTATTTATTTCTTTATTTTAGAAATAAGCAAGGTAGATGGTTCCCCTACATTTAATGATCTTTGAAAATATGTAAGGAAGTCATCTATGTGGTAGAATATTGCCCTGGGTTCCAGATGGCTCAGCGTAGACTAGAACTGAGTCCCCTGCCAGCAGGGCCAAAAAACAACACTGGGGGGCCCAATTGCATCAGGAACGGTTCCTTTTAGGGTTCTATCTAAAAAAAAAAGAAACATTAATTCACACTGAAGAGGAAATGTAAGCTTTTCAAGAGTCAGTCATTCTGTTGCTGTTTTGAGACAGGATTGCAATATTTGGACCTAGCTGATTTCAGGCTTGCCCTACCTCAGTCTCTAGAATGTAGGGATCACAGGTGTGCGTGCCCCTATATGAGGGTCCGTTTTTCTTTTCCATATGAAACATTTGGGGCTTTGAGTCCTTATTGCCAGGAGGGAGAGATGGGAAACCCTGACTCTTCCCTACCTTGCCTTCAAGCTAGAATCTGAAATTTGCTTGGTAACATTGCTTCTTGCCCAGCGGTGCATCTGAGGAAGATGGTAGGCCATGGCAGGCAGATTGTGAGAAGGCTGCAGACGTTTGCCAGCTCTGCCAGCCTACAGCTCTAGCTCCAAGCCAGTAGTTTGTCTATTTGATCATTCATTTAACATGCTTTCCTAGATGACAACGACCCTGCTCAGAGGGTGAGCCAGGCCTAGCCCTGCCCTGTGCCTTCTTGCCGTTAGCTCAGCTGTCTGTCAGGTGAAACAGATCTCAGGTACCTTCTTCCGTTTCAGAATGGCTACACTCCTTTGCACATTGCTGCCAAGCAGAACCAGATAGAGGTGGCTCGAAGTCTGCTGCAGTATGGGGGGTCAGCGAATGCGGAGTCTGTACAAGGTGTGACCCCATTGCACCTTGCTGCCCAAGAGGGCCACACGGAAATGGTGGCTCTTCTCCTGTCAAAACAAGCCAATGGCAACCTGGGAAATAAGGTAGGCCCCTCTGAGTTTACCTTACAGCTTCAGTATAGGTGTCAGCTTATATGTGCTTGCCCAATGCTTTGCTTCTGCTGAGATATGTGGGCAGGACCCTGACAACAGCCCTACATAAGTGTTATCTCAGTGTTACATTGAATCCACAGCTGGCTGTGAGACCCTAAGTCTTTGTGCCCTTCCTGTGCCATCCTGCCTTTCTGTACCCCTTTGAGGACCTACAAGAAGGCCACCCTGGAAACCCAGAGTATACTTGCCCCAGTGTTGGCCAGCATTTATATTCAGGAGTACATAGAATATCTACTTTCTGTAATAGAAGGTGTGTTTTTTGTGGTGTCTTCCATCTTCTAGGGTTCTTGTAATCCTTCCCATGTAAAATGCCAGGCCTGAGCCAGGCAATGGTGGCTCATGCCTTTAATCCAAGCACTTGGGAGGCAGAGGCCTGATGTTTGCAATGAGAGACCCTGTCTCAAAGATAAGATACATAGGTCCTAAAGACTGACACCAAATGTGCACATGTATGTGTACATCTGCTCACAGACACAAAGTGGTTCTTGATCTGGCTTGATTCCATTAATAAAGCATGTCTAGGACAGGCAAATTCACAGAGACTTATTAGTGCTTGTTATGGATTGGAGTCTCTCCATAACTATTTATTCTATTTTCCTTTCCTTGGGAGATCCTCCCTCTCCCTAGTTCCTTCCTCTATACCTAACCTCTATGGTTGTACAGATGGTAGCATGGCTATTGAAGGCTTAAAAGCTAACATGCACATGTAAAAGAAAACATACCATATTTGTCTTTTGGGGTCTGGGTTACTTCATTCATGTCCTAACTCCATCCATTTACTTGTGAATTCCATGATTTCATTTTTAACAGCTGAATATTTTGTTGTGTAAATGAGCCCCATGTTCATTATCCGTTTATCTGTTTGGATATCTAGACTGTTTCTAATTGCTGAGTAAAGCAGCAATGTATATGGCTGAGCAAGATCCTCTATGGTAGGATGAAGAGTCCTTTGGGTGGGTGCCCAAGGGTGGTATAGCTGGAGTTTGAGGTAGATTGACTCCCATTTTCCTGAGGAACCGCCACACTGATTTCCATAGTGGCTATGGAAAGTCTTGAGGGTTAAACACACCCAAGGAAATACAAGGAATAAATAATCCCATACCAGCAAATCAAGAGCAGGTTAGGAGACCCGCACCATGACAACAAAAATGACAGGAATCAATAAGCACTGCTCACTGGTGACTCTCAATACTAATGATCTCAACTCTCCAGTTACACAAAAAAAACACAAAGTGACAGATTAGATTAGGAACCAGGATGGACCTTGGGCAGCCTGAGGCATGCAGAGACAAGCAGAGTTATTTGATGGGAACCAGAGTTGGACTTATGTTCTCAGCATAGGGAGCAAAGGGAAGGAGACTCTAGATAGGACAGTGATAGCCTGTATCTTCTAGCATAAGAGACCAAGTCACCAAAGTTTACCATGGAAATAACAATTACTACAATTGAAAGTCTTGGTTAAACCGATCTATTGTCTATGGGCCAACTCCAGCCCACTGCTTAGTTCTATAACGCTTCATTGGAACTTAGACATATGTAGACAGATTTTTCTGTCCCACCTGGTCCCACAGTCATTTAGTCCCCCAAAACACACAGATGATCATATTAATTATCAACTATTTGGCCGATGGCTCGGGCTTCTTATTGGCTAGTTCTCTCTTAATTATTAACCCATTTCTATTAATCTGTGTATGTCCACATAATTTTGGCTTACCAGAGAATGCCCAGGTCTCTTTCTTCCTCCGAAGCTACAGGGTGTCTCTCTGGGGACTCACTCCCTGAGTTCATCTTCCCAGAATTCTCTTATTCTGGTAACCCTGTCTATACTTGTCATCAACAAGTAAGAAAAACATATTCACAGCATACAAGATGTTGCCCACCAGCCATGCCTGTCGGTTTTCAGGCTGGTTAGTAATGCTTGTTAGCAGGATTGCCAAAGCTACAAAGTCACAGGTCTCATAAGTTAGCAGTCTGGCCCTTAACAGAAAACGCTGCCTGACCCTTCCCCATATTAGTCACCTGACATTCACATGAGGACCTGGAGGCCCAGGAAAGGAAAACTTTTGCCAAATAATCAGTCAGATAGCCGATCTGGTGCTGCACATGCCTGGGGCTCTCAAGTCTCACAGTTCTGTCACTATAGCCTGGAATTCTTCCCTGGCTCAAAGCTGATGGACATGTTTCTCTTTTAGAGTGGACTCACTCCTCTCCACCTGGTAGCACAAGAAGGCCATGTTCCAGTGGCAGACGTGCTGATCAAGCATGGCGTCACAGTGGATGCTACCACACGGGTAAGACAGGCAACCCCATCCTGAACCTGTAATGGCTCCCTCCCTTAGCTGCATGCTCCATCTTGATCCACCCAGATTTACCCCCTCACACCTTAGTACATCACAGGGGCACCCCCTCACACCTCAGAATTGTCTCCTTCATGGAGACAAAACCTTGAGGATCATCACTTTTCTGCCTTTTCATGGACTGGTAAGAAGTCTTGAGACACCAGGATTCATGGTCACTCATTATAACTGGGCATTTTTAAAAGTTTACTAGACCTTTGAGTTTGTTATACAAACTTGGAAGGGGTGTTTACACATGATGTTAAGTCCTGCCTCATGTGTGTAGTAAGCATGTGGAGGTTACCCAGGCTTCCTTTGTGTTACTTGGAAGTAATAGCCCCTTTTATGCCAGGATTGTGTTGACTGGAGTTTGACTTTCTCTCAAGCTCTCTGTGGCAAGAGCCCTGTGTTGTGTGTAAGGGTGAGTGTGTGTGTGTGTGTGTGTGTGTGTGTGTGTGTGTGTGTGTGTGGCACACAACACACTGCTCTGGGCTTGTGCAGTGTGGGGAAGATGACTGCGGTGACAGGAAAGGGTTGCAAAATGTGACATCTAGAATAAGAAGCTGGCAACCCAGAATGGGAAAAGAGCACCTCCAGTGGGAAAAGGAGCTGCATGGAAGAGGAACACCCTGGTTCCTTTGGTTGCCAGATAAGAGACAAGGGAGCCCTGCGTTGGTGGTGCACGCCTTTGATCCCAGCATTTGGGAGGCAGAGGCAAGCAGATCTCTGTGAGTTTGAGGCCAGCCTGGTCTACAGAGTCAGGATAGGCTCCAAAGCTACACAGAGAAACCCTGTGTCGAAGAGAAGATGAGGAGGAGGAGACAAGGGACTGAAGATGTAACTCAGAGTAGAGAAGAGAGTTTGCCTAGCCATGGGCAAGGCAGGTCCTGGGTTCTGTCCCCAGCACTGAAAAACCCCCAAAGAAGGAACAGAGTGACACCGCCAGCAGCATGCACACACGTACCGGTTCCACAGATGCACTGGCCAGGAGGTGCTGAAGACACCCTGCAGCCCCAACAAAAATCTCAAGACCTCAAAGTATCCTTGGCCTAGTTCAGTCTTTGGGGTCCTTCCCTGGAGGACCCTGTTCTGGAGATTAGAGCTCATAGATCACAAAGTCATCTCAGGTCATGAGGGTCTGACCCAAAGGGTTTGTGTGCAGAGGGTCTCTGGACTCTTCAGCTGGTTCCCTAAGTACATGTGTAACCAAAGACATGTTAGCCTTTTGGGCATAACACAGAAGTAATCAATGGAAGCTGGAGCTCAGTTTGAACGGAGAGCGTGGAGCACATGCTGGTGTCCGGAAAACCCAGCTTCTTCCCTACCGAAAACACACAAACAAAGATCAATAGGATAGATTCTTTGGAAAACAGCAGGCAGCCCACTGTCACATGACTAACCATGGCCCATCACGTTAGACCATGGTCAGTTCCTATAAACTCTAGTAACTCAGCTAGCATCTGGATACCTAGAGTAGGGCTCCACCCCTCTAGTAGAAGAAGTGAGTCGCTATTGTGAACATCAGCATTGACAGGCATGGCTGGCTGTCCTTCCAGAGCTCCTCCTAGCACAGACCTGTCAGCCCCTCCTTCTAAAGAGAATGCTTCTCAAATCCTGGTGCAGATCTCTCCGATCCCCCTGCCACAACCCCTGCCAAGCCTCTCTCAGCTTCTTCATGCCCACTGTCCTTGACCATCTTCATGGCTAGCTGCTTTCATCCCAGCCCTCTCTTCTGGGTCATGTCAGCCTTCCAATTGCCTGCTTGATGACTTCAGCCTTCTCTTGTGTGACACTGGTCCTGTCCCTTCTCTAACCAGTATCAGCTTTGTCTCACAGCTCTGTGTCACCCTTCCTCTTAGTCTCCTTCCCCTCCCTTGAGCAGCCACTTCTGTAAGGGTCTGCTGGTGCTTGGAAGGCCTGGTTGACTTCCCACCCACATTCATGTCTTGCCTTTCAGATGGGTTACACCCCACTCCACGTGGCCAGCCATTATGGAAACATCAAGCTGGTGAAGTTTTTGCTACAGCACCAGGCGGATGTCAATGCCAAGACCAAGGTACAGGGGTACCTTACACCCAGCTCCCAGGCTGACAGCTCCTGGGCACTCACTTAGGAGACAGCCCGGGCCACTCCAGATCCTGTTTCAGTCCTGAGCTTTGAGCCTAGAGAAGGAAGTGGGGGGGGGAGTTGTAGTAGGTGGACTCTGGGGTTTGTATGCAATTCTTCCCCCCAACAGCTAACTGATCCTGTCAAATGTCTGCCTTACTTCATAGCTAGGATACAGCCCCTTGCACCAAGCAGCTCAGCAAGGACACACAGACATTGTGACACTGCTTCTGAAGAATGGTGCTTCTCCAAATGAGGTCAGCTCGGTGAGTACCCACCTGGTTCCATTTCATTTCACACAGTGTGGGAGCATCCTTGACCATATAGGTTGCTGACACCCTGGAGTCTGGGCAGAGCTAGGTACCATAATGTAGCTAGCTGCCTTGTGTACTCCAGGACTTAGACATTGGAATGCAGTCCTCTCTTTGGTCACTGTAGAGTCTCCCTCACAACATCATGCCTCCTCTCCTCTGGCTTGTAACTGTTCCTGCTGACGCTCATTTGGTGTGTTTGAAGCTACCGTCATCAAGGATGGCATAAGTAGACAAAATTAAATACTTGGGACCTCAAAGACACCCCTACCAGCCTTGGTGATGTGGTTCAGGATGAATTCCCTATCCTGGCCATGGGGTTTGTAGTGTTAACCTACTGAAAGCTGTGGACCCTTGCTATAGATGTTTGCTGAGGGTAACTGCAGGTGGGCTGAAGTCATGTGGAGCCCAGGCATGTTCTGCAAGCAGGGAACACCTTCAAAGAGAATAAGAGCTCCAATGCCTGCACGTTTTCACCTTTCAAAGCATTTAAGTGTGCCCCTATCCCACTTGGGGAATTTGTGAATTCTGACTGCTCTAATTAGTTAAGCAAACTGTTCAGGATTGCTGCTATCGCAACAGTCAGTTAGTGGAAGGGGCATGGGAGCATTGCTTCTGCCTGGTCCCCCCAGCTTTGCTTGCCTGCCTTGGTGGGGCTTAGCCCTGTTCTCATGTCCAGGCCATATACTTCACACCAAGGGCTCGCAAGATGTCCTGCTTGTCCTCCTGCCCTGTCTCATCTCTGTGGCCTCCAGGATCACACACTTGTACACAGATCTTGGCTCCAAGGCCCAATCTGCCCACGTAGGCCCTTCTGAAGAATCCAAGCAAACCTGGTCTATATGCAAGAGACAGACTCTCTCCTCTGACTGTCTGCTTTCCCTCTGTCCTAGAACGGAACCACACCTCTGGCAATAGCCAAGCGTTTGGGCTATATTTCTGTAACAGATGTGCTCAAGGTGGTCACGGATGAAACCAGTGTTGTGGTACGTCTGCCCCTCCCCTGAGGCAGCCACCCTGACCCCAACTATAGCCAGGGCCCTGAGAGTTACTGCCCAAAGCCAATGCCTCCCACCTGGCAGGCATTGCTTCAGGTGGGGAAATACTGCCACCTAGTGTCCAAAGAATTGGATGGGGCTTGAGGTGAGGTAGGAGGGCAGGCAGTCTGAGGTCTGGCATTATCCTGCCCGTGGCACCTGCCAGGCTTCAGCTTCCAGATCAAATGCCTCCTAGCCTGACTTTCTTTGGAGGCACATCTTTCCATCTCCTTTGGTGACTGCTTCTCCGGGGCAGTAGCTGGACTGAAGCAAAGATACCACGCTCCATTCCGTGTGGGTCCCAACCCCTGCCCTTTCTCTTTTCAGTTAGTCAGTGACAAACATCGGATGAGCTATCCGGAGACGGTGGATGAGATCCTGGATGTGTCTGAAGATGAAGGTAAACTCTTTGGTGATAAATTCAGGCTCCATCCTCTCAAGCTGCCCTTGGAACAGATCTGGGCTGTACATTCAAGCACACATTGAAACCGGGAGACTCGCTTCTTACAAATATTGTCTATTGACAGAATAATTCCTTCCCAATGATCCTGGGTCAAGGAAAATTGGAAACTTAGAGGTTAATATTGTAGATCTCAAGTCTTTATGTGCAGGTTAGTTGGTATAGTGGTATATATGATGCTCCTGTATTTGATCAAGAATGGGTCTACTCAAGGCAGCTGCTGGCAGCTGCAACATCTGGCTGCTGTTTTCCTTGAGCCTCTACAAATGATAAGTCAGGTTGTTGAAAGAGAGAATGCATTTTGATCGGCTGCCCTTCTGACAACGTGGTGGGCAGAAAGTCTGGAGTCTTCCCTTGTCCTCAGGGAAATTAAGGTTTCAACTTCATGAGCTCCAGAGTGTCTTCCCCGTCTCCCTGCCCTGCTTCCTCTCAGAATTGAGGGAATGCAGGACAGCAGGGTCAGGCCTGCTCTCTGGCCCCTTCTGTCTGGAATTCAGTGGTTGTGTGACGGTCAGCTAGCACGTGTGCTCTTAATGACATGCCTCTCGCTTTCCGGGATCTGATGCCATCATTCCTTCACCTTGGCTCTTCTTTGCCTTCCAGGAACTGCTCAGATATCTGTAATGGGTATGAAATGCTTTATGTTCCCCGTGGTCTCTCTCACCAGAGCACATCCCACCATTAGCCCACGAGTCCTCACTAACCCATGCCTGCTTTTCATCCCCCGTGGCCCCGTGCAGGGCCCCGAGCTGACTAAACAGGACATGCACACCATGAAGCCACCTCTGTATCTGTGCCCATGTCACTGTGTCTGTGCTCATCCTGCATGAACAGTTACACTTCATCCTGTCAGCTCCAGGTCATAGGGCGGGCTCCCCCTGCAGAGCCCAGGCTGCTGCTCCAGTCAGGCCAGGGACAGGGGAGGGGTACAGGTTGTTGATTAGGTGCAAGGAGTTGGATCCTCTTCATGAGATTTGGAACTACAGATAACAGTTCCAGGATGAGGTGTAGAAATAGTAATGGAAATAAAGGAGTTTCCGTGACAAAAGAACGCTACAGCCTCCAGTGCATAGGTTTGAGCACTGAGCTATTTTCCCCTCTGTAATGGCAGATTAGAAATACTTGTAAACTAAGCAGGGTGTGGTGGCTCATGCCTTTAATCCCAGCATTCAGGGGGGCAGAGAAAGACAAATCCTTGAGGTCAAGGTCAGCCTGGTCTACAAGCAAGTTCCAGAACAGCCTGAGAGAAACCCTGTCTCAAAAAACGGAAAGAAAAAAAAAAAAGGAAGAAAGGAAGGAAGGAAGAAATATCTGTAACTTTGATTCTTTCTGTGGTGACGCTTTGCACTCTGAAAGAGCTGCTGTGTAATGGGAAAGTCACCAAACCAAAAAAAAAAAAAAAAACCTTTCTGGCTGTATTCTCCATCCTACAAAGTCAGGGGGAGGCAGAGGGGTTAGAGACTGGCCTACCCTGGGCTCTAGTGCTTGAAGACCAGAACTGGGAATTTCCATGACTTACATGCTCCTTGAGGCATCAAAAACCAGCACTGCCCTCCACTCTAGAGTAGACATCAAGAGGTAGACTATGAAAAATGCTTATTAGGAGCAAAAGTGACTTCTTGTCTCCAGCCTGCCACTCACTTGAGCTCCTGGTTTTCAGGCGACGAACTTGTTGGCTCCAAGGCTGAGAGGCGGGACTCCCGCGATGTGGGTGAGGAGAAAGAGCTGTTGGATTTTGTGCCGAAGCTAGACCAAGTGTAAGATGGGCTCAGTGTGGGTGGGAGGATCATGCTGTGGACAGCCAGATGTGGCTCTAGGACTCAGGGTAGAGATGCAGGGGAAAGCCAGGCCTGGGCGTGCCTAGGGAAGGAGAGGCTTCGGGGTACAGGGAGACATGGGTCAATTTGTAGATGAGACAGTCATTTTATCACGTGAGATGAGGTGAGGGGTGAACAAGCAGGTCACTAGATGGACTGAGGTTTGTCACTTAAGTCTATGAGGATCATGGAGGGGTCTGCTTCAAATGTTCGGCTCTTTGATTGTCTACTGTTCCTGATTCACAGGGTGGAATCTCCAGCCATCCCAAGGATCCCTTGTGTCACCCCCGAGACTGTGGTCATCCGATCTGAAGACCCAGAACAGGTAAGGAACTCCTTATCTCTTCCCATAGCTGAGAGTGAGGACATTCCATGATTGTGTTCCTATGACCTGGGGACAATAGGAGGTAAAGTGGAGAGGCTCACACCTTCAGAGCCATGATTCCCTGTGTTCTGTGGAGCCCAGTGTGGCAGGCATACTCACTAAGCCCACTGTGAGTCCTGGGAACCTTGGAGGTCTCTGAGTGTGAGGAACACCATCATAATATGCGGGAAAATGTTCAGGCCAGCCAGCTATGGGGCCAGGGAGGGACCTCACCCCTGTGATGCAAAAACACCAAAGCTCTGACACCTCAGCTCCCTCTCTTGAGAAGGGGTCACTGTGCCTTTCCTCGTCTTCCCCCATTTGATAATAGGAACCAGAGACCCCATGCAGACAGAAAGGTCTCAGAGCACTGTTCTCAGTGGAACAGTTGTTTGTGACAGTACCCTGTTTGTACTCTCCTAGCCTTCTACTGGAATTTGTCCATAGGTGTCTAGGGGTGAAGGATGAGAATGGCTCCAAACAGTTTTAAAGATTAGGCCACTGTCATTCTCCTCCGGAGCAGGAACATTTCTTAGGGAGAGAAGAGAGTTGATGCAGTGTTGAAGGCTGCCATGTCTGCCCTAAACCCTGATAGCCAAGGTGGGCTGAATCCCTCCTCATTCCACAAAGGGCGTGAGTCTGAAAATATGCTAGGGTATCAGCACGATACAGCATTGGAGTTGCTATTCATTTGAGAGGTAATCAGATGGGATGGGACCCTGGTACCACTGTGACATTGTCCCTGGGTGCTGTCAAAGCAGCAGGAACAAGCCCAGGGGGCCTGAGTGTGTCTTGTCCTATAACTATCCCATTCTCTACACACACACACACACACACACACACACACACACACACACACACACACAAAGAGAACACAGTGGTTGTACATGTTAAGCAGAACCTCAACATTTCTTTCCAAGTCTTTTCTTAAATCATAAACCCAATAAGAGGTATATACTACATTTCTACTAAGTGCCCATCTAGGGCTCCATATAAAAGGTTGGATTTAATTTTCTCCTAGGAGCTGCTATCAACTCTGAATGTGGACTTAGATACATGGGTTTTTGTGAGGCCATGAACAGTCTCCTTCCACCAGTGATGAATGGGAAATCCCATAGAGCCTGATGGGTTCACCTCACAGAGCCACACACACACACACACACACAGTGCCAATAGGGCAAGTAGCCATGAGGTGATGGTGCAGGTTCTAGAAGCAGCTCTGGAGAGGAAAGCATGGGGAACGGCAGGAGAGACAGAAGGGTGTTCAATGTGTGTGTCCAGCAGAGGACAGCAAGCGAGGAAGGGGCGGAGTTCATTTCATGGGAGTGGTTTCTTCCAGCTGAGCTCCAGGACCTGGGCACATGTTTGGGTATCCTGGGGTAAGATAAGAGACAGGAGACCTTGTCTTTTCTGCAGGGGTCTAAAGAGTACGATGAGGACTCACTCATCCCCAGTAGCCCAGCCACAGAGACGTCAGACAACATTAGCCCCGTGGCCAGTCCTGTGCACACAGGGTAAGTGTTGCACACACCTGGGACCCACTTTTCCTGTCCTTGAGAAGGAAGCCAGCCCTGTCATGATCTACCCGTGCTTCCAGGTTTCTGGTGAGTTTTATGGTTGATGCCCGAGGAGGATCCATGAGAGGGAGTCGTCATAATGGCCTGAGGGTGGTGATCCCTCCCCGGACGTGTGCAGCACCCACACGCATCACCTGCAGACTGGTCAAGCCTCAGAAGCTGAACACACCACCCCCGCTGGCTGAGGAAGAGGGTCTAGCCAGCAGGATCATCGCACTGGGGCCCACGGGGGCCCAGTTCCTTAGGTGAGATATGCCCCCAGGGGTATGTGTGCAACTAGTGTCTCCAAGCAGTTCCTGCCACTTCAGGAAGCTGGGACTGAAGGACCGTCCCACCCAGGCAGTGCCCAGCATCTCATTTCTCTGCTGTGGCGACAAGCAGGCTTGCCTGCCTCTCTCAGGCCCATGAGGCAGTTTATGGTGCTAGAGGAGCCCACTTCCCTCAAAAGTGCTAGGAGGCTAGAGAAGAGACCAGGGAAAATTTGTCTATTTGGGGGCCTAGGGTTTACTCATGTAAGCACCAGAGTGTTCATCTGGAAGGCGTTCCCCACAGAGGGTCCCCAAGGCCACCAAGAGAAAAGAGGTACTCTCTTTTCTCACCTGCCTAAAACGCACTGGGGTCACCGGAGCTCTGCTTTCCGCCAGTAACAGTGAAAGCTTTAGCCTCAGTGGCCCCAGGCAGGCCTGTGCCTCCATAGCCCTGGCCTGGAGGCTGTGAGCTGGGCCCGCGGCCATCCCCCTTGGGCCCAGGCATGCGGCCTCCTCTAGAACGCGCTCCCACCACTTGCTGTGTTCTACCTCAGCCCGGTGATTGTGGAGATCCCCCATTTTGCCTCTCATGGCCGTGGGGACCGTGAACTGGTGGTACTGAGGAGTGAAAACGGCTCTGTGTGGAAAGAGCACAAGAGCCGCTATGGAGAAAGCTACCTGGACCAGATCCTTAATGGCATGGATGAAGGTACGGGACCCTACAGTTCCAGGTGGCTTTCCTGCTTTGGGAAGATGGGATCTGGGGTTGCACACTTGGGGTGGTCTGTCAGCACTGCCTGGGGTTCGGGGAGGCTAAGAGGGGCTTAGAATGGGCCTTATGATCAAATGCTGGGTGCCCAGGACATGTGAGTGGGCATGATGTTCCTCTCCCCACCCCACCCCACCCCCCGTGACCAGCGCTCTTCCACTGGGCCTCTGGGTCCAGTCGGTACTCCTTCCAGGCCACCTCCCTGCCAAGCCCCTAGGGAGACATGGAAACCTAGGAGCCACAGTCACAGCTCAGCCCGAGCCTTGAGGGCCACTACCCTGAAACCACAGTCATAGCTCATCCCAAGGCAACTTATGTTTCCAGAGCTGGGGACCCTGGAGGAGCTGGAGAAAAGGCGCGTGTGTCGCATCATCACCACCGACTTCCCCCTGTACTTTGTGATCATGTCACGGCTGTGCCAGGACTACGACACCGTTGGTCCTGAAGGGGGCTCCCTGAGAAGCAAGCTGGTGCCCCTGGTACAAGCAACATTCCCGGAAAACGCTGTCACCAAGAAAGTGAAGCTGGCTTTACAGGTGATGCGGCCCCTCCTTGCAGTTCCCAAGGCCACGTGGAGGTCAGGCTCTGTAGAAGGCCTGGCCCCTGAGGACAGTCCCACACTTTTGTCTGGGAAATCTGAGCTGAAGAGTCACTCCAGGTGGGGGAGGGAAGAGCAGGTGTTTTCTAAAGGCCTGGAGACAGTCCAGCATGGCCACTGAATGTGGCTAGCTGTGTCCCCCAAGAAGGATTCCACAGGACGCCTGAAGTGGGCCACAGTGCTGAAGAAAGCATGGAAATGGGAGACGGGGTAAAAAAGGCTCAGAAAGACACTAAGCTGTGGGGTTGGGCCTAGGTGGATACCATTCTCATCAAAGTATAGGAGGTAGTGGAGGGGTCACCTCCTCATCCGAACTTTGAGGGCACCTGGCCCACCCTATCTGGCCAGCCACTGACTGCCTGGGGCTGAGCCTTCCATCTTTGGTGCTTCACAGGCCCAGCCTGTCCCCGATGAGCTGGTGACCAAGCTCCTGGGCAACCAGGCCACGTTCAGCCCCATTGTCACTGTTGAGCCAAGGCGCCGGAAGTTCCACCGTCCCATTGGGCTTCGAATCCCACTCCCTCCCTCGTGGACTGACAACCCCAGGGACAGTGGGGAAGGGGACACCACCAGCCTGCGCCTACTGTGCAGCGTCATTGGTGAGTGGCGGGCTTGGCGTTTGCTTCCTTGGCAGCGGCTGGTTTGGGGCACACTGGGTGGTGGAAGATAAAGCCAGCAACTTCCTGGGGCTCTTACGGCTTCCCTGGCGATGAGAGAAAAAGGAACTGAGTCTAAGTCTATGGCCTGAGGGTGAGCCCTCAGCACAGCACGGGGATGCAGTGCTCGGGTTGCAGACCAAGGACCACCGGATGTACCGCTTCTGTCTTAGCACATGTGAGCTTCTTGCCTCTGACTGGAAAGTGTCCCCCAGCCCTGCCTCTGCTGCTCTCGTAGGTGGAACTGACCAAGCCCAGTGGGAAGACATAACGGGAACAACCAAGCTTGTGTATGCCAACGAGTGTGCCAACTTTACCACCAATGTCTCAGCCAGGTAAGACTTGGCCCTTCCTAGCCCAGCATGGTGGCCGCAGGGAGCTACCCTCATGGCCTGGCCCTCCCCCAGGCCAGGCTTGAAAGTTCTTTGCCGCTGCTCCCACCAGACAGCGTGCAATTGCTGCTGCGTGGCCACATGCTCACCACTCGCCGTCCCCTCATAGGTTTTGGCTGTCAGACTGCCCTCGGACTGCAGAGGCCGTGCACTTTGCCACCCTGTTGTACAAAGAGCTCACTGCGGTCCCCTACATGGCCAAGTTTGTCATTTTTGCCAAGATGAATGACCCTCGGGAAGGACGGCTCCGCTGCTACTGCATGACAGATGACAAAGTGGACAAGACCCTGGAACAGCATGAGAACTTTGTGGAGGTGGCACGGAGCAGGGACATAGAGGTATGGCTCCTGGGTCTCCTCATAACAGCCCTGGAAGGCTTTTCTCGCTTCACACAAGGAAGTGAAGCCCTGGGCTGAGGTGGTTCTCATGGTGGTTCTGGAGCATGGTGGCCAGTCCAGGCCAGAAGTCCTCCCTCTGGAGTTGTAGGGACCTTTAGGCCGTATTGCTTCAGCTCCCCTCCCAAGAATCATCTTAGCGAAGTCATGGCAAACGTGAGGGTCCCCACCACAGGCCTCTCAGGGACTTGTGTGGTAAGAATCGGCACTTGCTGACATTCACATGAATCTGGCACAATTGAAAGTAACTTGAGGCTGGGAGCTGGCTCAGCAGTTAGGAGCACTTACTGCTCCTGCAGAGGACCTGGGTTCATTTCCCAGCACCCATATCAGACAGCTCACAACCTACCTGTAACTAGTTCCAGGAAATCCAATGCCCTCTCTGGCCTCTGTGGGCACCTGCATGCACGTGGTGCACGCACGCACGCTCTTTTTGAAATCCCTTTTTTCTTAAAATACCTTACTTATAAAATAGGGTTTTGCTTTCTTAGCTGTGGGCACCCAGTGTACACACTGGGAAGCCAAGACGGGGAAGAGGACTAACATCACACTCGAGCTATAGAGATCAAACCTGCTTCTACAGCAGTCCTGGGGTGTGCTAGCATCTAGAAAAGCAGGAACTATGTGGATAAATTGATGAGAGCATGGGAACTGGATTTGAAGTTATTACTAATCCCGAGATTCTGTCTCGTGTTTATATAATAAGCTAGGACTGTCTGAAGGCCTGGCCTCTGAATGTTTGCTGGACTTACCTGCAAATGCTGCTGTCTTAGTCGGGGTTTCTGTTGCTGTGATAAAACATCATGACCAAAAGCAGCTTGGGGAGGAGAGGGTTTATTTCAGTTTACAGCTCATCACCACTGTGTCATAGTCTATCGTGGAAGGAAATCAGGGCAAGAACTCAAGTCAGGAGCTTAGAGGCAGAGGCTGTAGCAGAAGCAGGAATGCTGCTTACTTGCTCCTCATGGCATGCTCAGCCTGCTTCTATATACAACCCAGGACCAGCTAGCCCCGGAGTGGCAGAGGGAGGCCCTCTCACCTCTATCATCAGTCAAGGAAATGCAGTGCAGGTTTGCACATAGGCTAGTCTGGTCGGGGAGAAGGGTGGAGGGCAGGCTTTTCTTAATTGAGGTTTCCTCTCCTCACATGACTCTAGCCTATATCAAGTTGACAAAAGAACTAACTCTTGAGAGCTGGCTTGGTATCAGAAGTTCATGGCTGAGACATAGGTGTGCTTGGTTCTGACGTTGCCCTGGCACTCACTGGTCAAAGTACTTATTGCCTCTAGGCCTCCATGTCCTCAGCGGTCAGTTATGATCATAACAACATCTCAGTTGAAGCTATTATGCACACAGAAGGAATCCTTATGTATGAGAAGCACTTGTAGGCTTTTCAGCACACCTCACAAACAGAACACCTTCAGGACAGACCAGGACTTTTCCAGAAGACATGCTGTGCTGTCCTGGCAGGCCACTAAGTTCTTGGGAACATGCTCGCCATAAGTCTGCATCAATAGATCATGGCTTATTTATGGCACTTTTCCCTAAACCAGCAATGAGGCTTCTCATAGCCTACTCCCTGTGCGAGGAATGAATGGTAGGAGAGGGGAACACAGAAACTTACAGGCGTTTCTATATGAGCTCAGCACGCTTTTCTTTTCCTGTAGGTTCTGGAAGGAATGCCTCTATTTGCAGAACTCTCTGGGAACTTGGTGCCTGTGAAGAAAGCAACCCAACAGCGAAGCTTCCACTTCCAGTCATTTCGAGAGAACCGTTTGGCCATCCCTGTGAAGGTGCTGGCCTCCTATGGCCACCCTCTTTTCTTGGTCCAGGAGTTTGGGAGGCAGGAACCCCTGAGAACACCAGCCTAGAGGCATAGAGGGTCCTGCTAAAGCTCCCTGTGTGTAATTGAATCTAGGTGAGGGACAGCAGTCGCGAGCCAGGAGGGTTCTTATCATTCCTGCGAAAGGCGATGAAGTACGAAGACACACAGCACATCCTCTGCCACTTGAATATCACCATGCCCCCCTGCACCAAGGTGAGCTGTCACCTGCCAGTGCCCCTCAGAAGTTCCCAAACATGCATACATCCGAAGGGCTTCCTTCTTCATTCTGAAGCACTAACTTCAATTCCCAGGCTCCCCAGGGCTCTTGCTCTGCTCTGGACATTTGCTTTGTGGCTAGGCAGAGAAAGCTTGCTCTGGAATGTCCATAAAGCCTGGTTATGTGATGCGAGGAGCGAATGTCAGGGCCAGGCACTGATAGGACATGGAGCTGGCCTCTCTAGAACATGGAAAACAGAGTCTCCCTGCTGCTCTTGAGGTGTCTGGGGCTTACAGCTGAATCAGGGATTTACCCAAGGTCACTTACTCATAGATGGAAGTTGTCAAGTATCTTTTCTATTTATTTGCCTGTCTCCCCTCAACAAGGGGACCCTGTTCCCAGCTACTGTCCAAATCCAGGTTTCCACACTCAGCCAAGGAGTCTTGACCAATGGACTCTTTCTGATCCCTGAAAGAGCCTCATGTGTTTGGACCTATGGAGGAACTCCATCCTCACAGTGTCCCTATGATTCTGCCAGTGCTATTGTGCTGTTGTTTGAGTCATTAACCTTCTGTGGTCACCTAGAAGAGAAGCAAGGTCATCTTAAGATATGTGACTCAATTTCTCTTTTTCCTTCCGGGGATGAGGGTGAATCTATTTCTCTCTCAAATGGAGTTTCCAGCGCCTAGAACAAACAGGCCCTGGTGTTAAGCCTTAAGCCAGTGTGAGTCAGAAACGAGTCATTAAGCAGAAGCGAATCCAGAAAGAAAAACTGAGTTTAAATCCAAAATCTGTCTCTACTGGGTGACTTTGTGCCTCAGTTTCCTCACCAATGATGCAGAAGTTATAATTGTGCCTGCCTGCCTGTCTCACACGTAGCTGAGAGTATCCAATGGAGCTGCTCACAAGAGAATGGCTACCCGGGTCTGCCATTATTGATATTATTAAAGAAGCATCTGGGTACCCCCACCTCATTCCATTCCCACTTACCACGTGTTTTATCTATCAGGCTGTGGACCACCCTGCCCCTTCCCCAAACCATGAGAGCTTGCACCAGCTTCTCTAAGAGGGAATACACCCCAAAATCCATGGTACCCGTCATTTGTCTTCTGCAGGGTGGTGGAGCAGAAGACAGGAGGAGGACCCTGACACCTCTAAGTCTTCGATACAGCATTCTCAGCGAGTCCAGGCTGGGTAGGAGTCCCTAATCTAGCACCCCATATGCTTGCTTTTATAAGAATGCAAACACATTCCCATCAAGGCAATCTACCGAGGATTTCTTTGTCAAGGACTCTGTCCTGGTATCAGTTCATCTTATTTTGTCTGCATCAGGCAAAGCCCTCCCTCCCCTTAGGCCTCAAGGTCCTGTGCACCTGAGCATCCTTCTGTAAGGGCCACACACCCACCTCATCCATGTTGTGACCTTCCCCAGCTGATAACTGCAATCCAATTCATCTTCCCAGGTTTTACCAGTGACACAGACCGTGCTGATATGAAGATGGCTATCATCACAGAGCACCTCGGCCTCAGCTGGGCAGGTGAGTTATGGAATTTGGACAAAAAAAAAAAAAAAGCCTCAGATCTCCCTAACCCATGACCTTTCCTCCTGGGTGACTCAGGGTGAAGTGTGTCCAACCCTGGCTTCATCACCCATTGTACCTTGAGTCTGTGATGACCCATTTTAGAAGCAACACCACTGCAGTGGCTTCCATGTTTGTCTATTTCTCCTGTAAGCATTGTGAGAAACAATTATCCTTACCTTACAGCAAGAGTACTGGAGACTTAGGGGAAACAGCCCTTTATTTTATGACCTTGACAAGTTGAGCATCAGCCTAGGCCATCACAAGCACTGGTTGAGTGCAGAAAGGAGTTTACAAATCTTAAGCCATGAGCCTTATGTAACAATCAGGGTTAAATCAGGGAACAATCTTACATGCCACCTGGGTTTTTTCCTTCCCACGTTGTTTATTTGTTTGAATTTTTCTCAACAAAAACTGTGTCTGAGTTCATCTCTATATTTAAATTCTGTTTATTTCAAAGCGTAATAGGTGTGTGGCTTTGCAGGCAGACTCACTGAGTTTCTACTCTCAACTGCAGAGTGGTGGGGAATAGGTAGGCCAGCGGCATTAGCAGGGATCCAGTGTGTCCTGTCCATTTGTAGATGAGCTGGACCTAAGCTAGCTTGAGACACCTTTGAAAAAAAAACATTAGATTTTATATCTAACACACCAGTATTTGATGCTATATGCTGCCTTTGGATATATTGGTTCACCTTGCTTTACCACTGGGAATGTGAAGGTCTACCTTAGTAAAGCAAGTTGGTAGCTAGTGACAGAACACAGAAAACCAAACAAACACAAATTATATTAATATATATGTGTATTTATATATGATATATAATACCTTGTGATTGTGTCCACTGCCTTCTCGGTGCTACTCATTAGCTTCTCAGAGGCAGCTTGCTGTGGAAAAGGGGGAAAGGCAAGGTTTCCCGAAGTCACTTTTTACCTCTGGCTGTAGCTGAGCCTGTGGTACCTCCTGGCTACAACAGGGCAGACAGGGTTTGAAAGGAAGCAGGCAGGCGGAGGAAAGTGCTCCATGAGTTGATGCAGCCTCCGGCTCTGTAAACTGACTTGCTCTCTGTTGCCACTCTTTGTTTTGATCTTCATGTGGTTGGCTGCCCTGTGTGCTGTGTGTGCTCACCCTGCACAGCGCTTTAGACGACTCAGCTACAACAGTGGGAACTGTCTGAAAAGACAGGACGGGAATTCAGAATGCAAGAACCAGCTACCCTTCAGGCTATTTCTACTCCTGCTTGGTGTGTGTGTGTGTGTGTGTGTGTGTGTGTGTGTGTGTGTGTGTGTGTGTTGTATAGGCATGTTCTGACTTGCAGTCACCTTCTCGCCAGTCTTCCTCATACTTAAGTACCCTATGTATTCCCCTTCTGACCATCTGTGAGCAGTCACAATAAATGTCACCAAGCTACTGTAATGACCACAGGGCTGCCTTTCTATCCTCTAGTTCTTGGAGGACAGCCAGTGGCCACCTGTGCAAGGCTGCAGGTAACTTCGAAGTCTGGGAACTAGCTTGTCCTGTACCCTGAGGAAGCTCATTCTCATCGCCTCCTCAGTGAAGTCATGAAAGAAGAAAGGAAAAGTCTTCATTTACTCATTCACTCACTCATCTAATGCCTGGTTCCCAGCCCCATTCATTAGGGACACAGGAGGCAGATGTTTATTCCACACCAAGTCTTTCCTGGCGGGAAGGAGCCCCAGATTTAATAGGGACTGTGATAAACTCCACACTCATACTGGCTCTTGGTTCTATGCCTACAGAGCTGGCCCGGGAACTGCAGTTCACCGTGGAAGACATCAACAGGATCCGTGTAGAAAACCCCAACTCCTTGTTGGAGCAGAGTGCGGCCTTGCTGACCCTCTGGGTGGCGCGTGAAGGCGAAAATGCGAAGAGTCAGTACCATTCAGCCAACTGTCTTGCTAGAAAGATCTGCCCTTCTTTTGGACTCCACTCCTGCTGCTGACCTGGGGTTTCCCTCTCTGCCCCTTCTCTCACTTTTCATGTCTTGAGGTCTCCTAGGCAATCCTATGAGTCCATATCACCTGTGGCTCTCACCCTCAATCTTTCCCGGTCTCAGGGGGAGGTAATAATTGCCCTGGACCCCTGAGAATATGTTATAGAATGTAAGACTAGTTTTCCAAGTGTTCCTATTGAATTTCTCAACCAGATGAGTGCTGTGGTCTCCAAACAGGGTCAGGTGGCCTATCCCAGTCTGCTCTTCTCTTGCTCTCCTAGGACACTCTCCTCTTGTCTGGAGAAAAGGCGTCTCACTCTGCTTTAGCAGTTCCTCCAAACCCTGCCCCGTGCGGCGCTGGGTGCTTCCATCTGTTTCTTCATCCACTGATGTAGACTGGGACTTCCAAAGGAGTTGTTCCCCTTGCTTTCTCATTATTATTATAGCCCCTGCTCTCTCTCACACACGCACACCTATAGCTATCACACACACACACCTATAGCTATCACACACACACACACACAATACACACACACCTATAGCTATCACACACACACACCTATAGCTATCACACACACACATACACCTATAGCTATCACACACACACACACCTATAGCTATCACACACACATACACAACACACACACCTATAGCTATCACACACACACACACCTATAGCTATCACACACACACACCTATAGCTATCACACACATACACACACACACACACACCTTTAGATGCTTCACAATGGCCACTGAGCATCTGGCTTGTGCTCAACAGAGCCAGAACACTTGCCAAGCATGCACAAGGCCATGGGCTCCATCACCAGCATTGAAAGAAACAAAACAAAACAAGCCAAACCACAACTGCAACTCTTAGTTTTGTATCCAAAAACAGGACTGTTTCTCTTCCCCAGATTTCCTCCTGCCCCATGGCCGTGAGGCCTGCACAGCATTCCTGTTACTCTAGAAACATGTGAGTTTGTTCCTCCAGCGCCTCCTCTCTTCTCTCCTGACAGTGGAGAATCTGTACACAGCCCTGCGGAACATCGATAGAAGTGAGATTGTTAACATGTTGGAGGGCTCCGGCAGGCAGAGCCGCAACCTCAAACCAGACCGGCGGCATGGAGACCGGGACTATTCATTGTCACCATCCCAGATGAATGGTGAGTGTCCTATGAGACCAGGCTGAGCTGGGGCCCTGCCTTCCAGGCACCAGCAATAATGGCCCCTTCCCTTGACACTTCATTTCCCCTGAACCATGTCTCCCTCCTGTTGATGGGAGGGTCGTCAGCGATGAACTCCTCCTACCAGGGAGAGCAGAGGCAAGTGAGAGAGACAGGTGGCACCTACGTGTGCAGCGGGGGCCTCCTCCCGCAGGGCTGCCTGCCTCTGTGCCCACATATGGGCAGTTCCCAGGCTCTCACCACCAGCCCCCAAAAACAAGGTCCCAGAAGTGGCTGGCACGGCAAGGACAGACTTCAGTCTGGGAAGAAGTTGCCTAGGCCCTCACCCTAGAATCTCCAAGCTCTCTGTTTCACGGGGCATGGGTCCGCTCGTGCCCCATCTATGGGATATTCAGGTCTAACAGGGATCAGTTGATGGTGTTTAAAATCCCACTGTGAACCCTCGGGACTAAGGGTGTGTTCTCCTTGAGACCAGTCTCTCTTCCTTGTCACACTCTCTCCCTTTTTTCTCATCTCATCTGTCTCCCTGCACTCTTCAGTATGGTTCAGCATGGCAGGGAGCCCCAGTGTGACCCATCCCAAGGAGATGAAGCCCAGAGGCCCCGACCTTTGCCACTGAGCTGTGTCTGAGGCCTGCACCCTGCACAAAGCAACGATAGAAGCAGGCACTGCCATGAAGGAGCAGAGGATGGAGGTCCCAAGGCCTTTCTCCTTATCCACTCTCTGTCTGTCCAGGGGAAATGAGTGGGGGCCCAGAAGCCTGCACATTAGGTCCTTCCTGCCTGCTGGCCCTCATACAGCAGAGATGTCTCCTCATCTTTAGAAACTGGGTTAGATTGCAATAACTTTGAAAATGTTGTCAGTTGTGGGGTGTGTCTCCTTCTGGTGTCCCCACCCCTCTGTGGACAGCTATGGGCTGACAGCAATGCTCCCCAAACTGGCCGTTTTAAAGGGTGTCCCTAGCCATGTACACTGGACACAAGGGCACCTGAGTCACAGCTTGTGGTGTCATCAGGGAGCAGGGAGTACCAGGGGCAGGTGAGTTCTAGACTAGGCTGGACAAAGGGCCTCCTTCTGTCAAGTGGGGGCGTGTGCATGCCAAACCTCCCCTACTTTCTCTTTCTCATGTCCTGTGTCTCCTGAAACATGCTATCTAGACCCATCAGGTGCGGGGCTCATCTACTGATCACGTCCTGTCTCCTCTCTTTCTGCCTCTGACCTCATCCTAACGATTCACTCTCTTGTACTTCTTGTTCTCCACTGTCCCCACCCGGCCAAGTGTCCAGAGCCATCAGATTTCACAAGTGCATGTCACAGAGGACTCCCAGCCCCCACCCCATGCATCTCATGGCTGTCCCCATGGGCATCTGTTGCGTGTGCATGGCGTGTTGTCTGCAGCTGCTGATGCGTATGCTCCACTCACTCTTCAGGTCCAGAGGGTTCCAGAACAGTGACCTACAGTATGGGGATTGTAGCTTCCCTCTAGGAACCTGGTTGGAGCCCTGTGGGGAGCTCCTAAGTAGGCCAGCTCCCCCTTCGCAGGAAGAAAAAGAAGGACAGCTGAAAGCATCTGCAAGCTTTGGGAAGTTCAAGTGACAAGACACTTGGTGTGTGGCATGGGCTTTTTAATATTGCCCATACTATTTCAACCAAGTTAAACCCACAGATTATTCGTACGCCCTAAATTAACATTCATGGAACTAGCAGGCCCTTAGAATTTCCCGGGTCTGAAGAACTGACTATTGACTACAGTCAGACCAGAACAGTGTTAATGCCTAAGCAGTCCCCGGTCTATGAATGGGACCAAGTCTCTGTGTGTTCTGTGTCTGATGATAGGGCTCTGTTGCCATGGGCTAGCCCATTTGGCAAAAACTTTTCAAGCATCAGCTACATGTTAGACACCGTCCTAGGCATGGGAGTGAAGTCAGTTCTCAGATGAGAAAATAAAACACAATCCTGCCTTTGTGACGTTTTCCTTCTGTTATGAACCCTTGGGATATATAATGTGTTACATGTGATATGGGCTCATAGTGATATGGGGGTAAACAGGCCAGAATAAAGGGACTCAGTAGCATGGTAGGAGTGTTGCATTTGAACAGAGGCACAAATAGGATGATGGAATGAGCCATATGTAAACAAGGAGGAACGGACATTCCAGAAGGTAGATTCAGAAGTACCAGAGGGACAGTAGGCAGTAGGGAGAGAGAAGGCAGGAGGCCTAAGGGGCATCGGGAAGCCAACCCTAAGGACTGTCAGAAGACCATTGGGTTTCGTGTGGTGGGGTTTGAGCAGAGGAGTGACATCATCTTCAGAGGATTCTCCTCTTTGAGTTTAGATGCTTCTGCTCTTCTGGCTTCTCTGTGCCTCGTGCTGATCCTTCTATACCTAAAAGCCCACAGATCTCAAGATGAGCTTAGACTCTGAACCCTACAGGCATGTTGCCCTCAGTGGGGGGGGGACTATAAATTGATCCTTGGCCTGATACTCTCTGCTTTCTAGCATCAGGATTGGTTTGTGTATTGTTGTTACACCCTCATCCCTATGCTGGAAAGGCTGTCTCACATCTGTCCTTCCAGTCAGAAATGAAAGGATGCAAGAGATCATTAGTGCAGGGAGGGAGAGGCACAAGCCTCCTGTACCATTTCTGGGTGTCCTTTGACAAGGACACTTGGTACCTGGCCTGGTGCCAGCTAAGCCCTACACATTACAGTTGTGACCATTGCGTCAGTTTCAGGGTGCTTTGCTCCATTCCTCTGCTTGTCTGTATTGGAAGTGGCAGGGACTCAGGGCAGTGCCTGCATAAAAGGGGGGTGTGTCCTTATTTGAGAGGAATCTTCTCCTGCCACAGCTTTTCCAGACTTACATGCCTGCATTGTTATGGGAAAGGAGACCTGTCCCAAAAGTCAGTTCTCCTACATAAGAGGGAACCATCCAGACCCATGGAATAAGCACAAAGAAGAAAAATGCCTGGAAGAAAAACAACAACAAAAAGCAAAAAACAAACAAAAAACATTCTTCTAAAAATAAGACATTTCTTATACAGAAAGAAAAAGTAGACGTCTCATGTTCATCAGCTCCATCTGTGTTGATGAGGCATTATGTCTAGTTGGAAACAAAATGCATTTATTTAGAACAGTGTTAAATGATATGGTTGGTGAAAGGTGACTCCTGTCTGGGGCCAGGTTACCTGTCTATACCTTTTGTTGGCTATGAACATTGAACTAAGAGGGCGAGTTTAGAGCCAGGACAATAACCTGCTAAGAAGAAAGGCCACCTGAGGTCACCTGGAGTCCCCACCCAACTCTCACTCTACTCAAGAAGCCAAAGCAACATGATACAGGCAGGCATGATCTGCAAAAACCTCCCCAAGAGCCTCTTCAGTAGACCTAAGGATGAGATGAGGAACTGCAGAAGTGGGAGGAGGAGGAACTTAACATGGTCCACTCTCCGTGCTCACATAGTTGGTCAAGAACAATGTGGAAGTGCTCACCAACTGCCACAACAAGAAACGCCTGGGCCGACTGAAGCCCTCGACACACCATGCAACATGGTGCTGGAGAATGTGAAGGTTGAGATGAGGACCCAAGATTGACAAGGGCCAGAAGCAGTCCACGCCAGTCAATAAGGAGTTAGGGTTAGGTTCTCTGTAGAGTAAGGCCACCTGGAGTCCCTCCCTCCTCTGGACTCAAGAAGACAAAGCAAAGAATAGACACAGATGTTACTGATGGAGGACTCAGCCATTGTGGCCCTGAAGAACCCATTCAAAACTGGCAAGTAGAGTAGGGTCCTTCTCCTACCATGAGAGTCTGCTCCCGACCCTACAGAGAGCTGCATGGTAGGGTGGAAAGAAACATGTATGTCTGAGATGAAGGAGGGAAGGAAGGAAGGGAGGGAGGGAGGGAGGGAGGAAGGAAGGAAGGAAGAAGGGAAGGAGGGAAGGAGGGAGGCAGGCAGACAGACTTAACTTACTCTGCTCCAAGCCTTATATATGTGACTACTGTCTGACCTCCCCAAGGCCTTTAGACTGGAAGATGGACTGGTAACCCAAGTGGGCCAGGGCTGCAAGAGTCCTAGAATGATGAGCATTTCTGAAGTATGTAGGACAGAAGGAGATCTTCCCTTGACCTAGTGAGACATTCCTCACAAGGGTATAGGCCTCAGTGACCACAGCCCCACACTAGCAGTGATGCCCACCCACGTCAGTTCTAGAGTTGCTGAGATCCTCACATGCAAGTTTGAATAGATTGGGTAGAGTCCTCTGAAAATAGGAAATGCCCCGAAGGCCGTCACCTGCGGTGACAATGAACAGAAAGCATACATGTGTTTCCTCCACTCTCGCTTAATTGAGATGAAATTTCCTCTCAAATGAACACCGTGGAAACTACATGGAGAAACCCTATCTGGAACAACCAAGAGAGGGAGAGAGAAGGAGAAAGAGAATCAGAACACGAGAGCCCTTTGGAAGGTCACCTACATGCTTTGCCTGAGTGTTAAACAGATATTCCCAGTGGCTTGCCTGGCCATTCAGACACTGGCACAGAAAGAAAATGAAGCTTCAGAAAATAAGAATAAGTAATCCGAGTTTGAGCGATGTATAAGACCTGCCTAAGAAATCCTGAAAATGAAATTAATGGAATCAAACTGCTTTCCAAATAAACCACTTAACAGGACAGCTACCAAGGATGTGCAGAGCTATGAAAACATCCAGCACCCAAAAATGGTAAAATGCACGGTGCCTGGCAGCTAGTTAAGAAATACCAGATACCAGAAGCAGGAAAACTGAATCAGTAATGGAAGAAAACAAGGACTGGTACAGATGAGGGACAGAGATGACAGGACAGTCAGGACAGCTGTTCCAGGTGGAATTCAGGGGTAGAGCATTCACCTAGCTGTGCAAAGGCTCTGTCAGCAGACACCCTATAGACTGAAATACAGGAAGAAGAGAGGATGTAAAAAGCATCAGTGATCAAAAGTGTGTGTGTGAGAGAGAGAGAGTGAGTACATATGTGTGTATATGTACATACATGTGCTAAAAGTATTCTGAATTTGATGAGAATTATAAATGCATTGATGTACTAAGTATCATCCATATAGAGGAAGCATTTTAGCAATTATATTGAGGTATACAATAAGCAAATTGGTCAAAGTGGGCATAAAGGAAACTCAGTACAAAGGAATCAAAATAAGGATAATAGACTCATAGGAAACAGTATAAGAAAGAGACCGATGGGTTTGCTTCAAAGTAAAAGAAAGCGCAGGCATGGCTTGGAGTATGCTCATCAGTAAAATGCCTGCCTAGAATATGTGGGACCTGGGGTCACTCCCTAGTGGTTACAGAGAGGTCAGTGAAAAGGGGAGAAGGGGGATAGGGAGGAGGAAGAAGATTTTTTTTAAAAAAAGTAATAATAGCAGCAATGTCTCCAATCCCAGCACTCAAGAGACAGTAGCAGGCAGATCTCTGCGTGTTTAAAGCCAGCCTGATCTAGTAGTGAGTGCCAGGCCAGCTAGGGCTACAAGGTTGAGGCTGTGTCTTAGGAGAAGAGGAAGAGGAGGAAGAGGAAAGTTCAAAGCCAACATGAGCTGCGTAGCAAGTTGAAAGCCAACCTGAGTTGTATAATAAGGAGTGGGAAAGTCCCAGTGAAGAGAGCATGCCTGTTAGCTTAGCATTCAGCAGGGAGAGGCAGAAATGGGAGAGGCCTCAAATTTAGGGTCAGTCATGTACATGAGATCCTGTCAACAAAAATTAGAAACTAAATTAAAGCAAAAATAAAATAAAAATTCTTCCAGATGTATAAAAGCTGAAAGCATTTACCAGGGTTAAACACTACAAGCAGTGTTTAAAAGAGAACCAGGACTGATTCTGTGTGTGTGTGTGTGTGTGGTGTGTGTGTGTGGTATGTGTGGTGTGTGTGTGTATATGTGTGTGTGTGGTGTGTGTGTGTGGTGTGTGTGGTGTGTGTATGTGTGTGTGTGGTGTGTGTGTGTGTGTGTGGTGTGTGTGTGTGTATGTGTGTGTGTGGTGTGTGTATGTGTGTGTGTGTGTGGTGTGTGTGTGTGGTGTGTGTGTGGTGTGTGTGTGTGTGGTGTGTGTGTGGTATGTGTGTGTGGTGTGTGTGTGGTGTGTGTGTGTGTGTGTGTGTGTGTGTGTGTGTGTGTGTGTGTGTGTGTGTGTGTGTGTTTACTAGTCCTTTAGGACAGTGTCTGGCATGGAGTCAGACGCTGGTGAATATGTTTTGGCTGAGCGTGTGGAGGAAAGAGGATAGTGCTGTTAGATGCAGGGGCCATGAGAGAGCTGGTGCCCAGAGCTGAGAGCAAGGAGGCAGACTAGGCCTGAAAGCGTAAGAATGGAGAGCTAGAGAATGAGCATAAAGGCCTGGGTTAGGGATTGTGGGTACTGGGAAAGGGCTGGCGGATTGAAGGGTTTGGGCTTAAGGCTTGGAGAACTAGATAATGGAAGGACCCTAGAAACAAGCCCCACACCATTGCACATACATGTGCGCATGTGTACATGCACACACACACACACACACACACACACACACACACTTTGTTTCCCCTGGCTCTTTAACAACTGTAGGCACATGCCAGTTTCCTGACTCCTCGGGCACACTGTGCCAGATAGAAAGGCTTGTCTCTAGATTGGCACCTTGCTCTCCTGGGGACAAAAGGGTGAGTCACTTCTGACAGAACAGTGACATCCACCCAACACACAAATTCCCCACATGCAGACTTGCTTTTCAGTCCATTCGTAGTCACTCCTGAACACCAGAGAGCTGAGGCCCGGGCCCTCCAGACACTGTCAGGAACTTACTTCCAAGGCCAGGAACAGGTATGGGAGCAGGCTGCTGATTCCAGGCTGTGCTGGGTCCTGCTGAACCAGAGCTGGGTGGATAGCTCAGGGCCTATGGATGAAGCAGTGTGGGCAGGTGGGCTGCAGCCCACGGTGCCCTCTGACCTTGCGCCATTTTTGACCCCTTAGAACCCTCACCTGAGCCACTGTAGATCACTCAGAGTTTGTGGAACCAATATGCACCTTGAGGAAAAGTCACTTCATGCCAACCCAGAAGCCTGTTTCCCACTTGACCACCGCACTGAGGTCTGTGGATGTTCAGTGTACCCTGTCAGACCCCTCCAGGGCAGCCTTGTTACTGACCCTGATCCTGGGTGGGCTGCACTCTCCCCCAAGGTACATTCCTAACAGGACTCCAAAGACTAAGCCAAGACCATCCTTTACTCCGCCAGCCACGGAGCCCGGGCTGTCGTGTGATCGATGAGGGCAGATCGGAGCACAAGTCCTGTGGATAAAGCCTTCTTTATCTAGTGCTCACAGCTGGTTGAGAATGAATTTCAGTCGTGTTTCTTTGCCCTCCAGCAAAGGAGCCCCCTTCTCCACCCTCACTCCTTGGCTGCCCCCATCCAGCTCAGAGCCTTGTTTCTCTTGCCAGGGTGTCCCGGCATTAGCCACAAGGCCTGAGCTTTGGACTCGGAGCTTGGAAAGCCCTGCCCTGAATGTGCATGCCTCTCTGTGGCCGTGCCTGTGTGTAAGTGTGTGTGGTCCTGCACGTGAGTGTGTGTGACAAAAATCGCTTCTGGAGCATGTTGCCCTCTGTCTGCCCTTCCAGGTTACTCCTCGCTGCAGGACGAGCTGCTGTCCCCTGCCTCCCTGCACTACGCACTTCCCTCTCCACTGTGTGCAGACCAGTACTGGAACGAAGTGGCTGTCATAGACGCCATCCCCCTGGCGGCCACGGAGCATGACACCATGCTGGAGATGTCTGACATGCAGGTGTGGTCTTCGGGCCTCACCCCCTCCCTGGTCACTGCTGAGGACTCCTCCCTGGAGTGCAGCAAGGCCGAGGACTCTGACGCCACACAAGAGTGGAAGTTGGAGGGGGCACTCTCAGAGGATGCACAGGGCCCGGAGCTGGGCTCTCAGGACCTGGTGGAGGACGACACAGTGGATTCAGATGCCACAAATGGCCTGGCTGATGTGCCAGGTCAAGAGGAAGGTCAGAGGTCAGAAAAGAAGAGGCAGGAGGTCACAGGCACAGAGCAGGACACGGACACTGAAGTGTCTCTTGTTTCAGGCCAGCAGCGAGTTCAAGCCCGAATCACAGACTCACCCACAGTGAGGCAGGTGTTGGACAGAAGCCAGGCCAGGTAAGGGCTGGTCTCTGGGTCCCTTCTGCCTTCCTGGGCTTTGGTTCTGACTATGCCTGGTGCTGGGCACAGGCAGAAGGCTTGGATGCTCCTGCTCATCCTGTATTCCAAATGCTCTGTAGCAAATAAACACGAATGTCTCTGAAGCCACCAACCGTCAGAAGGGAGCTGTTGTGACCCTCAAAGGCCAGTTTCCTGCCAGTTGTGCCCAACAGGAGAAATGCAGAGGATTTGGGACATGTGTGCCTAGGAGATGATGCATTGTTAGATGTGTGGCCACACCATGGCACTGGGGGTTCAGCGCTTTGGGGTTCTTGACACCAGAGTACCCCCACATCTCTGCAGACACTGAGCCCAGCAGGTGCTAAGTGTAGCCAAAGGTTCAGAGCTGGCAGTGGACATGCAGGTGTGACTTGAGTGTCCCTCCCTGCACTGGCTGATGTCATGCCACTCTGTTCATGTCACCTTGCTTTGTGACTTCTCCCTAAAGCAAAGTGGCTCATACGGCTCTAGCAGGCAGTACCCACTCAGGGAGTTCAGGGTTGGCCAGGCCGGGGAGTAGCTGTACCCTCCTCTCTTCCAGAAAAGCCTCCACTGGCCGTCCCTGGGGTCCTCAGCACGGACCATTGTGGGAGGAGAGGTGTTCACACACAGATGGCAAATAATTCATTTCACTTCCCAAAGAAGTCCTTTGATTAATGGGAAGACTTAGATGGACTGAGCCTGTGAGGGTCATGGTGAAATGCCTGTCACCCAGCAAGCAGCTACTCAGTACTTCCAGTCTAGAGCAGCAGGCAGGCTCACTGAAGGCAGGCTCTGACCCGGTTGTATCATTTCCCAGCTGTGTGACTCTGGTCAGCCATCCAACTGGACAGGCATATTTTATTCACTCACTCACTTACCCATATTAACTGAGCATTTACCATGTGCCAGGCTCCTATAAGAAAGCAGTGAAGAAATCAGAGAAATGTCTGCCTGTAGGAATGTTCTAGTGGGGAAACAGACAGGGAGCAAGGTAATGGAAATAAAACCATAGTTACAGCTGGCCTCCATGGCTTCCTAACCGTGGTTTCCAAACCCACGACTTCTACTGGCTGTGGAGCAAGTAAATGGCAGCTACCCTGACACGCGTAGGTGTTTCTTGCTGTTCCCTAAACAGTTTGGTATAGCAAGCATTTCCATCCTATTGGGAATTACAAGTATGAAAGAGGGTGTGTGTGGGTCCTGTGCAACCCCATTCCATTTCACATAAGAAACTTGAGCATCCATGGATAACCACAACTAAAATTGAAATGTTGGTAGCTAGGGAGACAGCTCAATGTTTACGAGCTAGCCGCACAAACGTGAGTGTCAGAGTTTGACTCCCCAGAACCCACATAAATGTTGGGTGTAATTCCAGCCTCTGAAGGTGGGGAATCTCATAGCAAGCAGGCTAGCTAAACTGGCCATATCAGCAAACTCTGGGTTTGATTGATAGCACCTGCCCTCAGTGAATATAGTGGAAGAGAAGGGAGGATGGTTCCCAATATTGTTCTCAGGCCTCTAACATGCACGCACATGTGCACACTCTACCACATATGTGAGCAGCCATACACACGTGCACCCGCACACATGCAAACATATATATATATATATATATATATATATATGTATGTATGTATGTACAACACATATGCATGAAAATGGAAAAAGTAGAAATTTTAAAATAAAAAAGTAAAAATAACCAACAACTAGAAATCTTCCGGGGTAATTCCTAGTGGTAAATGGAAAAGCAAAGCAGGGGAGTGGGACACGTAGTGGGAGGGTATGTGGGAAGCAACGTAGTAGGAATTATATATAGATAAGGTGACAGAGAAGGTCTGAGCGGGTGACAGTCTAAGAAGACCGCAAAGAATGAAAGGGTGAGCCACATATGTATCAGAGCAGAGCCCACCAGGGCACAGGCTGTGAGGTAGACTGTGGCATTCTGGAGCACAAATGCACCTGTGTGAGAGGGCTGTGTCCCAGATGTTCTGGGGTCCAGGAAAAGAGGGGGGCGTATCTGAGAGCTGAGACTGAAGGTGAACAGTTGTCCTTTCTCTCTCCCTGGCCATCTGTCACCTGTCCTGGACCCTAGGACACTGGACTTGGATAAACAGGGCTCCACAGTGCCCTATCCACAAGAAGTTGCACAAGGTTCCTGGCAAGAGGAGGTCACACAAGGCCCGCACTCATTCCAAAGAAAGATCACCACCATCCAAGGGCTGGAGCCCACCTCACTTCAGGGATATGAGCAGATGCTGGAGTCTACAAGGGTGCAGGTGCAGAGTGGGCCACTTGAGGCCCACAGCCCCCAGGCTAGCAAGGAACCAAGCCTGTGGGTATCTGACAGCACCTTCTCTCAAGATCAGGTGAAAGCACCTCCTTCTTCTTTCACTTGTTTGCTTTTTATTTAGGGTGGGGACGTGTATGTGTGTGTACACGTGATGTTGGGGTAAGACTGTGTGCCACATCACATGTACGTAGAGCTCAGAAGACAACTTTTTAGACATGAGCACTGGCCGTTGAAGTCAAGTCGCCAGGCTGGCACAGCACACACCTGTACCTGCTGAGTCATCTCACTGTTCCTCTTTCTAGCTTTCAGAAGCTCATGACTCAGGCCCTAAGCCAGGCATGTTTACCGGTGTGAGCTCGCTTTCTATCCTTCGTCCCTCTTGACTCCTCCTTTGGAAGGAAAGGGCTCGCGTGCACCAGTTATCCTCATCCACCGCCCATCCCCACAGCCGCACGGCATCCCAAGCTCACTCTCACTCACCTACTGATGTCAAAGTGGCTGGGCAGCTTGCTGTAGGCCTCGCTTGTCCAGGGGGATCTGAGAAAACTCTGGGCGACACAAAGCCATGGTTTTTGTTTGTCTGCTTTGTTTTCTCTTGTGTTCGTGATTTGGTTTGGAAGCACTATGTAGCCCAGGGTGGCCCAGCCTCTGAGTGTATCATAACTCCTGCTGTGTCCATCACACTCTAGAAAGAACCTGGGGCTGAGAGAACTGTGTTAAGAATGTCAGTGGCCACATAGGAGCCACTCTCTCAGGTCTGTGTGACCATGCTCCAGCGGCTGTCTTTTCAGGACCCCAGTGTCCCCATGCGGTGCAAAGAGTAACTGGAATACCACCAGCATTCACCTGGCCCTGGACTTCTGTGACTCCAGGTGGATTCTGGGTTCTGAAGTGTCAGGGTAGCAATAACTCTCTTCTCTCCAACTCCTGCCATTCAGGGTTTCTCTCTCTCTAGCCATCTTGTGTCCTCCTCTCCCTTTCCTTGACCCTCCTTTCCCCTCCTCTCTTTGGTTTTTGCCTTTTGCTATCATCTCTCCTACCCTCCTCCTCACCCTCAGGTCCCACAGCTACCCAGCCATGGCCAGCCTTGGTTCATCTACACCAGCAGCCTCATCCTCACTCCCCACATAAACTATTTTGAACAAATGCCAGGCATCTTTTGAACATAGGTCTTTTGATTTGTGTGTTCTTGCTGAGTTTGCATTGATATTCTGGAATGGGTATTTATAGCATGAGCATGACCGGGGGCTCTTTTTACCCAGTCCAGTATTCCCACCCAGCATCATTTCCCTCTTCCCCTTCCCTTGCTCCTGCTGTCTTCTAGCAGAGCACCTTTGGGAACTCCGACGACAGTTTGGTTCTCCCGTGTTTCTGAGATGCTGCCATAAAGCCACTGCTAGGAGTCACATAGAGTCTGATTTAGAAAGCCTATCTGCCAAGGGTGTGCACTGGTGCAGGCTAGGCAGCCTGTCGGGTTTTAACCACAGACCCTGCCCCCCCCATCACATTCCTTCCTACTAGTTGTCCTTTGCCACCTGCTCCTATTTCTCCCAAGAATGACAGCTCTGCCCAAATACAAGTGATGGTCATTGGGACAGCTCTGAATCCCCAGGAGAGCCAGGCACAGTCTTTCATGCTGCTCCCTCTGCCCTCTCATAGGAGAGAAGCTGAGGGGCAGAGAGTGTCGTAGAGAGAAGGCTTCTAGATGTAGAGCATGTGTTTGGCTCCTGTATTATAAAGGGAAAAAAGCATAAACAAGTGGCTAAGGGCTTTCTTCAGGATCACGCAACAAACCAGAGCTTGGAGCATGCAGGTCTCTTGACTCCTAGTCCCACATTCTTGTGGCCAGAGTGAGTGCACAGGTCCCAGCTTAAAATGGACATGTCATTGCCTCGCTGTTGTGGGGACCAATGGATGTTTAGCCTGTTGCTTTCATAGATATCTTTCCGGCCCCAGGGCTGATGGTGAGCCCATTGAAGGAAATAGTTTTCAAACTCATATTTACTAGTATTTTCGTATTTTCATTTTTCCTCTTTGTCATTTGGGATTTGTAGTGTGAACCCAAAATGTCTATAACCTAATTAGTTCTTCTAGGAACTGGGTGGAAGTAGGAGATATCCAACGTTGAACTCGTGTGTGTGTGTGTGTGTGTGTGTGTGTGTGTGTGTGTGTGTGTGTGTGGTCATGAGTGTGCATACTAGGATCAACCACACAGGGCTTCAGGCATGTTTCACAAACCATTCCATGTCTGTTACATTCCACTATTACTCTCACAGCCTCTGGATTCTTCTTAGCTCAGTTATAATGAAATGTTCTCCTTCAACCTGCAATTTTTTTGTATGGGGATTTTATATTTCCAGGCATTTCCTACTGACATCAAGCCATTTGAGGTGATAGAAGTGGAAAATCTCTTTCATTTACTTAACCTTTTCACCCAGACACACTACCATCACCCCTTTACCTGTGTCCTTCAGGTAAAATGGGAAAGCTAAAAATCTTAACACTACAGGATAGTGGTTGTGTTACCTTGTGAGACAGTCTACAGGGCAGAGCATGCTACAGCCGTGTGTGTCCTTGTTACTCACAGTGGCTGTGTTCATCAAGCACTGAGAGCCACACAGCATTCTGAAGCCAGGAAAGCTAGTGACCCCTGTTCCTAGAGTGAGAAAACCTTTCCCAAGCCTGCACAGTGGTGATTCATGGCGTGAGTCTGCTGTGTCCTGAGGCTGTGCTCATTCTGCTGGGGTGGGCTAGTGTTAGGAGGGCATTGACCTGATCCAGAGTATGAACCCTCAGCTGCTGCTGTGGCTGGGTGTGTGACTCAGTTCTCTGAGCACAAGTGTGCTGGGAGTGGCTCCTATTCTATGGCCATCTCCACTCCAGCCTGAGAAGAGGCTTTGAGCTGGGCCTTACATAAGGTCCAGTGTCACACCAGAGGCCTTCAGGGCTGACAGGAAGGACAGACTGGCTTCCCAGTCCCAGCACCACTTCACTTGCCTGGCTCTGAACAAATCTCTCACCCTTAGGGTTGTTTTTAAACGAATGCTTAACTTGCCTGGGTATTAGCTGGTCCAGGCCCCATCAGCATCTAACCACTGCAACAGCTGCCCACTGAGACACGAAAGTAGCCACATTCTTGAGACATCTTGTTTGTATGGAGTCCCTGGATGAGAACGTTTCCCTCTGGCTCCCATGGGCAAGCCTGGTTTCCCTCTCTGTGGTGACTCTGACGTGTGCTTCTGAGCCCACGACACAGCACCTGCTTTCCCCCTTCATCCCAGTTGGACAGCAGCAGCTGGCTGGAGAGCTAAAATTATAGAAGGCTGACGTCCTCTGGGGTGTGAGCAGAGATCCCAGGCTGTTTGGCAGGAAGGACACTCGGGTCATGTTGTCCCAGCTAAGAGAGTCACTCAGGAGAGATCATTTGGTCTCCTGTTTAGAATAAGGGATAAAGAGAAAAGAGAGGCAGAGACGGAATGGAAAGGTTTGCTGAGGGCCTCAGGAGTCGAAGAAGAGAATGAGAAATTGGATCTCCACGGCAGCTGGGCCCCTGGTGTCCCTGGTCCCTAGAGGGCCAGGCTGGTGAGGAGAAGGACGCAAGGAGGATGTGGACCTTCATCACTCAGCTCCTGGTCACTCTGGTACTGCTGGGCTTCTTCCTAGTTAGCTGTCAAAATGTGATGCACATTGTCAAGGGTTCCCTGTGCTTTGTGCTAAAGCACATCCATCAGGAGCTGGACAAGGAGCTGGGGGAGAGCGAGGGCCTGAGTGAGGACGAGGAAACCATCTCCACCAGAGTGGTCCGCCGACGGGTCTTCCTGAAGGTAACACCGGCGCAAGCCAAGATAGGATGCTGGACCTAGGGTGCCAGAGGACAGTCTGAGGGGACTCCCTGGTGTGTGCATAGGGTGGAGCTGAGAGAAAGAATACCAGCTCAAGTCGGGAGATACAACAAGACCAGGAAGCCCTCAAGCCCTCTTTGCATTTTGTGTGGGGGTATAGCTATATAATGGCACCTGTTCAGGGCTAAGTACTCAGCATTAAGTAGTAGAGAAGCTCAGCTCTGGGACTTAGGGCGCCTGCCTGCTCTCATTCCATTTGTACAGCCAACTTTGGAACTCGTCACCTCCAGGGCAGTGATGTCTCTGGGGGGCCTTGGGGAGCCTGCATATTCACCTGTGTTGTCGCTATTGCCATGATCAAAAGCATGCAAAGCTCTGGCTCCGGCCCGGGGGCTCATGGCCCCCAGGGTGCTGCCACACTGTGGAAACCCTCATTTGTCTGGGTTGCGTCGAGTGCCAGGCTTCATTGGACACAGCTGTTGGTGCCATTACTCTTTTACTTCATCACCTTCTGCTCTTCTTCAAAAATTCCCGCTTGCCAATCTGGGTCTTTCCTGTCTCCTAATTCCAGGGGGGTGAGCTTCAGAATATTCCGGGAGAGCAGGTGACAGAGGAACAATTCACAGACGAACAGGGCAACATTGTCACCAAGAAGGTGAGTGTGGAGCCTTTAAGTTGGGAGAGGCTGCTGGGACTCAAAGCTGGAAGGCAGAGGAAGGGCCTCAGAGTGCACTTGCTTCTTGGCACTTCCCTAACAGGGTAGGCAGGCTGTGGCCCACCTCAGTGATTCTGGGTAACTCAGGACAGCTGAGGCCTTTGGGTCTCTTGCAATCAGGATGCTGAGGGCCTTACAACCTCAAAGCTTAACTCGGCATAAATAATTCCAGGTGCCCTATTCCAGAAGGATCAGCTCCCATGAAACATACAGCCTGAGGCCTGTGGAGGGTGGCTCTGAAATAAGCTGTCAGAGAACAGAAAAACCTGTCCCCTCAGCAGAAAGGCTGTGGGAACTCATTGAATTGATGGCATAGGTCAATCAGCATGATAGGTTCTCATTGCCTGGCAAGCAATACCCTGTGAGGCAAAGGAATCAAGCAGGGGATGGTTGCTGGTCACATGGGGGGGCACAACCCCTGTCTGTCCTTGCCCCTTCTAAGGGCCTGTGTTTTCTGGTCATCTCCCATTCTGTATAAACAAATATGGAGCAGGTGGTGGAGCAGACACAGACGTGAGAAGGCTTGTCTCTGCCCTTAGGCACTGGAGGAATAGGAGTGTCAGCACAAACTTACGGTCAATGAAACCTACCCACAGCACTCCCCAAACTCAAGCTCCCCTGACTTTCCCCTGCAAGTGACAGCAGACAAAGGCTAGAGAAAGGCTTCTCCTTGGCCCCTGATGGACAAGGGACAAGAGGCCATTGCCCCTCCTCCTGATGTCACTTGTCCTTCTCAAACCTTGTCCTGATGGTTTGACCAGCCCTCCTTCTCTTTCAGATCATTCGCAAAGTCGTCCGGCAGGTAGATTCCTCCGGCGCCATCGACACCCAGCAACAGGAGGAGGTGATTGTTGAGGGGCCCCTGGTGGACCCTGGGGATCTGGAAGCTGATATTGAGTCCTTTATGAAACTTACTAAGGTACTGAGGAGCTGCAGGCCCCTGGAGGCCACAGCAGGTTTACCTCTGCCTCACCGCTGCTTTGCTCCGGTCTGCGCGTGCTGCCCTTTCTGGTGGACGGCGTTCCCACCAAATTACTCCTCACTGTCCCTTTCACCTTCTGCCTGTTTGCTCTCACCTGCCTGCGTGATTCCTACTTCTGTCTCTGATGCTGTCTCCAGGTGGAGCTAAGAGGGCGTGGACTACAGCCGGACCTGCCAGAGGGCAGGAAGGGGGCTCAGATAGTGAAGCGGGCCAGCCTGAAAAGGGGCAAACAGTGACCTCTCCTGGAGTAGCCCCCTGGGAGGTAACAGCAGCTTTCTTGTTCTTTCCAGCATGGTCCTTGATGTAGTAGCTGCCTGCTTCTCCCCACCCTGTTCCTTGCACTAGTACAATTCTGAGTCACAACCTGACACGCAGATTCCCACTCCCAAACTAGTCTCTGTCCCCCAGCTTCCTCTCCAAACAGGTGCATCTCCTTTGACTCGGGTCTGCTGGAGAGTGCACAGATTCAGGAGCTTAGTTTTATTTTGCTTGTTTATATTTTCTTTTGGTTTCTGTTTTGTTTGTTTGTTTTTGTTTTGTTTTTGACTGTGTTAGGGATGGAGCACAACGCCTCATGGATTGTAGGTATGGATTTTGCCTCTGAGCCACATCTTCAATCCCTATACAATTTATTTTTAAACAGGGTCTCTCTCTATAGCCTTGGAACTTGCTATGCAGACAGGCTGGCCTCTAACTCACAGACATCCAATTGCCTCTGTGCTGGAATTAAATGAATGCACCGCCACACCTAGCTGTCCCTGCGTAACTTTAAAACAGTGCTTTGAGGTGTGAAATATACTCTGTGAATCTTGGTATTTCTCTGAAAAACCAAGCAGTGGGCTGTTAAGTTGGTGGCCAGGATGCTTCAGAACACAGGGACACTGTCAGATCCGTAATGTCTCGCTATGTATGGCCAGAAACTACACCAGGCCTAGCCCTTAAGCCTTGCTGGAGTCCTAGCCTACCATAGCTTCAGTTCTCTTCTATTCTGTGAGCAAGGCTGCTCCCTTGATGTCTCAGAAGGAACTAAGTCAACAGGTCCAAGGAGTGGGTGCTGTCTTTTCCAGAATGTAGGAGGGTCTTCATGGCTAAGGGCTGCACTAGTGTGTGACATGTATGTGCCAGGGCAGTCGGCCAAGGAGGGGTGGGCCGGGCTATGCAATGAAGCTCTCCAGCAGGCTGCAGCACTGAGAACTTTGGCAGCCAGCTCTGACCTTACCCTCCCTGAGGGGTCCTGTACTGAGCTGCCCCGAGGTCCTTCATTGTGCTCAGCTCGGAGCAGCTCAGTACAAGACGCATCGGGGTGGGAGACAGCGGGGAGCAAGGAAGCATCACAGCCCTCACCCCCTGTGCACAGCACCCACTGGGTTATCGCCCTCAGAACTCTCAGGGCCCAGCTCCAGAGCCAAGCAGCAAGCAGTCACCTGTTTTATGCATTCTGCAAAAAGCAGGGCCCACACTGCCTCCTGGGCCAGCAGAAGTGCTGACTCGGGGCTTCCCAACATATCTCAGCACTTGGGCAAAAATGAGGATTGGCAGAGCTGATAGCAGAGTAAAATTAGCCCTGACTCTTCAGCAGCTTTAAGCAGGTCACAGCATTAACCCTGGCACTGCCAGGAAGGCCCTGCCTGGCTGCTGACTTCAAGGTCAGGATTAGCTGTGATTTGTACGTCTATTTGACTCAGATTTTTACCAACGCCATAAACAGGAGGAGGCAGGTAGCACAAAAGCAGGGCAGAGAGGAAGTAGAATGCTTTCATTCGTTTGCTGTAGCTGATCAGCAAAGGTGTTAACATGCACCTCCCCCAACACACACACACACACACACACACACACACACACACAAGATTACCCACCAGCCCTCATGAGCTTAGGAGTCAGGAATCTGAGCAGCCTGGTTCTGGGACTGCTGAACCCTCTGCCAACAAAAGGCAAAAGGAGCTATGTGACCAGGGTAGTAAGGCAGAAGGAGTGTGGCAGAGGGTCAGCCCGAAGGGTGGGAAAACAGCAGGAATGCTCCATCCTCAGCAGGAAGCTAGTGAACTGCCACCACCTCACAAGCAGTGCAGCCAGCCCTCTTTATCCTCTTCTGATTTGCCTACTTGCTACAAGGCGCTTGAAATCCGAAGCTAGCGCCTGGTGCTTCTGTGCTCTGTCATTCACAGAGGCACAGACAAGGGTGACCACGGAGTGACCGGTACTCGCATTTCCCGGCTCCGCCTTGTTGCAGCCCTTACACTGCCCCCTTCTTTCTCATCTACCTACTGCCATGGCGCATGTCCGTGCTCTTGGGTGGTTATCTCACTGTTTTTGTTAAGTTCTGTCTATCCAGGGAACACTAGCTCTGAGGGCTAGTGTTAGTGGAGGGCTCTGGTGTTAGTGGAGATGAGGTCAGCGTGAGTGAGTGAGCCACACGCGTACAATCAGCCTGCCGGAGACCCCAGGTCCCAGTCACAGCTCGGGTGTGGCAGGGGCACAAGTAATTAACTATGAGAGGCGTTGTGTCATGAGGAGTAAATAAAGGCGTACATACTCTGGCATTCAATTAGTGGCAGATTTTATTTGTAATGTGACTCAGGGCAAGTCAATTGACCTCCCTCGATCTCAACATTTCTGCCCATGCATAGCAATCATGCCAGAGCTTTTGTTGTAGAACTGCTGTGTGCTAACGGGTGTGTTTATTTTTGTGAAAGGGCTTCACAAATGTGAGGCTCGGCAATGCCCTTTCTCAGAGTGTGGTCCGCATCCCCTCCTAAAGTCATCTGGGCTCTTAAGACAAAGACTGGGCCGGGGCATAGCTCAGGAGTAGAAGCTTGCTGGCCTGGAAGAGACTACGTGTGTTCTCTGCTGCAGTAAGATTATTATGCTTATTGAAAGTTGACTTATGACCGATTTTGCTCCTTCTCCTTAAACTTCCCTCAAATTAAATAATATGGTTATAGGTGTCATAACTAAAAAGTGGCTGAAATGAAGGACAGTTAACTTATCTAGAGGGACAGAGCACCCACTGGGAGGACTCAGCCCCCTGGTGAGCAGTGTATTGCTGAGCCTTTTTCTGATCCTACCCATCGCCCCCTCCGTTGGAAAGGCCTCTGCATCCCAGGCCTAGAGACTGAAGAAGCCAGGAAATTGCTGTTTAGTCAAGGCTCAGGGCACATGGCAACACATGGCGGGGTTTGTACTGCGCCTAAATGGTAAGGTGCCAGGACCGTTGGGAAGACTGGAGCACAGTAGTGATGCAGCCCTGGGGTGGGCGGTCCCACAAGCCTCAGAAGGGTACTAGTTCTTGACACCCTCTGCATGTGCATGGCTGCACCCTCCAGGACTCTGAGGAAGAAAAAGGCTAGTGCCTCTCTCGGTTTTCCTTTTATGGAATGCTTTCCATGTAAACGTGTTTTCAAGACTTAGACTAGCTCTGACAATAGAATATTTTAATAAATTTTAACCTGTCTCAGTGGGAGGAAGTAGGGAGGCATGCTTTGTTTTGCTTTGTTTCAAGCTAGAATCTGTTCTCATATCCAGCCACTTGGACGACATCAGAGAGAGAGGTAAAAGAAGATGGTAGGAGTCACAACATGGTGTGGTGGCAGGGTACCACAGCAGAGAGAAAAGTGCGAGGCACTCCTAGCACACGGGAGGGGGAGCATTTCCTAAGCTTTGGAAGGTTGGGCCTTTTCCATGGAGTGGCCTGGGGAGGAGGTCCCGTGTCAGGAGAAACCCTGGCTATAGCCAGAAGGCTCATGTTACCGCACACCTGCTCCACCAGCTGCTCCAGCTCTCTGTTCCGCCTGAGTCTTGGTTTACCCAAAAACAAATTGGGCATCTACTCCAAAATGATCTCTAAGGCAGGGCTAGAGAGATGGCTCAGCCGTTAAAGGCTAGGCTCACAACCAAAATGAACTCTAAGGCTTGAGCCTTCTCCTCTGCTTAGGACCTGGCAGTAAAGCAGGTGGAAGATCATAGCCTGTGTGTCCAGAACCTCAGCTCTCACGTTGTCTCTCACTTGAGGAACGCTTAGCACCACAGTAGACAGTGCAGGGAATGTAAAGGGGCTCCCACCCAAGTGCTCATTAACCAGCCAGAGCAGACACACAGCTGGTTGGAAAGAAACAGCACTTAGCCAGCCATGCATTTCAAGAGCCAGCTACTCACAAGGCTAGAGCGCTCCCTGCCCACAGTGCTCCTTGTCCAGAGTGCTCCCTGCCCACAGTGCTCCTTGTTCAGAGTGCTCCCTGCCCTCAGTACTCCTTGTCCAGAGTGCTCCCTGCCCTCAGTGTTCCATGAACCTGTCATTATCGCACATCACAGTTATCTAAAGTGTCTGGTCCAGCTCCTGCTCCCATTTTACAGCAGAGGAGACTGAATTGAAGAGCAGCTATGTAAGTTGACTACTGTTGAATAGCCTGTAACAACAGAAGCTGGATTTAATCAGGAGCAGTCTGGCTTCAGAACCCCTGCTCTCATCCTTGGCACTGTAGACAGTGGGAAGGGGCAACCCGAAGCTAGAGGACAAGTCTGAAGCAGGACAGAAGTCAAGGAAGAAGGACCACAGCCTTGATGGAAGAGCTGTGGCCTAAAGCCTGGGGGGGGTGGCTCTGAGCACACAGTCTAGAAATGGGACCGAAGGAGAAGGCAGCCAGAATCTTCCTTTTCAAGTGGCAGCTCTCCCCCACCATCAAAAGTGCTTGACTTCTAGTCTTCAGCTAAGGCAGAGCATTTGGCACTCCGTTCCCTCTCCCTTCGCCACTCAGAGATGAGTCATGCCCAATATACCTTCCCCGGGCTCTGTCACCTACAGAGCCTGGGACAGCTCCAGGCCTAGGAACAGCTCTGCCTCAGAAGGACTTCCAACCTTTGTGCCACTCCCAGAACACCGTCACCCCCTTCCATCTTAATGGCCTCCTCAGCCAGGCATGGTGGATCACACCTGTCACCCCACACTCACGATGCTGAGAATGAACGATTGCCATGACGTCAAGACCAATCTGTGGTAACTAATGAGTTCGGGGCCAGCCAGGACTAAGAATGAGTCCCTGTCTCAAAAAACACAAAAATAAACGTCCTTCTCTTCTTCACCAGCTCCTGGGTCCCTATAGATTAAACCTTTAGTTTCTCCTGGAAGATGTGAAGCTGTCTGGGCATGATGGCACCTGCCTGAAATCCCAGCACCTGGGATGCAGAGGAAGGAGGAGGTTCGAGGTTTCAGACTAGCTTGAGCTGAGTATCAAGACGCTGTCTCAGGAAAAATAATAATAATAAGGAAAGAAGAAGGGAGGCAAGAAGGAGGCAGGCCTCTCAGCAGGCTGGGACATAAGGCCCTGGTGAGGGGTGGGGGCAGGAATGGTGTCATGCTGTGAATCCCAGGCTGATAGGTTTGGACTCCACATGCAAAACTGTTGCTTCCCAGCTTGAGATGTAATATTCTAGAAAGAATGTACCTGCCTAAGAGGTGGCTTTACCACAAAGTCAATCCACCACTAGGCATGTGAACAGGAGCCAGGGGCACCTGACAGTGAGAGCCTGTGGACGAGAGCCAAGAGGAACTTCAAGGCCATGAGTTCCAGGACTAGTGATCTTGTCCAGGGCAGACACAGAGGAGACATCAGTGCCATAGGTCCCCCTGAACTGAGAGCATAAACGCACTATTGCCTGGCCTAGCCTTTTCCTTGGCATAGGGCCCATCACAGAAAAATAGCCACTTATTCTAGGCACAAGAATCTACTTGGAAGACTTTCCCCAGCCTCCTGCCCCCTATGCAAGGTTCCCGAGAACTTGTCCACTTTGCACTAACCAGTGTGGGTGGGTGGGCTGGTGAGATGAAACATCTGGGTACGGAACAGGGAAGGGTGGGTGGTGTTTCCGGGTCAGCCTCTGCTACTACACTCTGAGCTCACCGCTTTGCTTGGGGACTCTGCTTCGCCTGGTCTGCCTTGCCCAAGAAGCACACACAGGACTCGAGTGACTCCTTTTTCTGTGTCCCGCAGGATCACACCTCAACACCCAAACCCTGAACTCCACACACTCTGTCATGCACACAGAAGGAGACCTGGACCAGAGGGCTACTGGAGGGTCGCACGTGTCCTCAGATCCCGGCATGACCTGTGTATGGGGCTCCCTTTAGTCTCGTATTCGCATGAACGACTGACTGTAGACGCATGACCTACAGCCTTCAGTCCTGCCTCTAGCGACCATGGATCTCTGTGGGAATCAGGACAAAGGCCGCCAGAAGAAGGGAGAGGAGGGAGGGAGAGCAAGCAAGCCCCAAAGAGCACATGGGTGCAGACATGAATAAGGGCTCTACTGTGGCTGGGATGGTTGGTTAAAGTTTGTTTGCTTCTTTTTTGTTTTGTTTTGCTTTGTTTTGCTTTTGACTTCAACCTCATTTGTAAGAAACTCACACGATGATTCTGGAAACTGGGCATGAAGTCAGTTTAGCACCATCGGCCCACATCCTCATGTGCCAGCCTCCCACACCTGCACACATCACATCCACTTGTAACAATCCCACCCCCTTCCCGGTGAAGGGACTGCTCTTCCCAGAACGACGTGACTGACACAGGTGCACAGAGCAGGTCTCCCCTTCCCTCAGTCCACACTGATTTTACTGTGACCTCTGAAGCTGTGTGGATGAACTGGATATATATATATATATTTTTAATGTTGTCTCTCAGTTTCAGTTTTAATCACCTTCCAGTGAAAATCATTACCTTGAGAGTGCATTTGAGGTTCCTTGTGTCTAGAAATTTGAGAACTGAGGCAAGGAGTCCCCAGGATTTGCTGTAGGGCTCAAAGGAAGCCAAGGCCCCATCTCAAAAGTTCTTTGCTGGGGAAGGGCCTGTGGCTGTTCAAGGATTGCACCAGCATGTTCAATAGAGAGGTTTTCTAACTCGTCAAGCACTTCTATAATAGTCTGTGTTCAAAGTGTAAACTGTACAGTAATCAGCCTTGTGTATATGAAAACAATAAATACTATGCAAACCAATAGAAACAAGTTAGCAGTATGTACAAAGCCCTAAACAGCTCAACTCCCGAGGACTCCTCCAGGCTGTGGGAGGAGCTAAAGGCTCTCTTCCACTGAAAGAGGAAGGGAGTAGGGCTGTGAATGTACCTGCCAGTTCCTAGGTCAGACCATCCTGAGGTCTCCCAGAGCCAACTTGGTGCTTGAAGTGCAGGTGGCCACAGGCACAGACACTGGGCTCAAGCTCAACCACCGGCCCAGTACAAGGAGAGCCGGAGCAGGAAAGAGCTGCTGACCAGGAGGCTGAGGAGAGACCCTCTTCTATTTAGACTCAGGGCCAGGCCAGGAAGGGACCCCTCAACTGGCTGGTCTTGTCTTGGAGCCCTCAGGGAAGAGCCTTAATGTCACACTAGAGTCTCCTGCAGAGGGAGGCCCGAATCAGCACAATCCGGCTCCGCCTTGCCCGGGCGGCGCCCCCTAGGGCCAGGAAAGAGATTGGCAGGCTCTTCTCGCTCTCCAGGAGCCACTGGTGGACCGGTGGTCACCTTCCTCGCCTGCCTCTCTTCGGGGGCGGAAGGGGTGTCGTCAGGACACAATAAAAACCTTCCAAGTAGCACAGACGCCCCTCCATGCCCGCGCCCCCACGCCCTGGAGGCTCGCCCCGGAATGGGTGTAGGGACTGGGGACGGGGATGCTGTGGTCCCCGAGGGAGCGGCTGGCTTTCCTCCGAGGGGCGGCCCCGTGAGGGCTGGGCAGGTGAGGACGGGCACGGGGTCGCCCCGCCTCGCCCCGCATCCTCTGCTCCAGGCTGCCGCCCCAGTAGCGGCTCTTAGCGCCCCACGCGGCCGGGCTCCGCTTTGGCACCTTCCGCTCAGTCTGGCTTGGCTGCTTGGCACGCCGCCCCCCGCCCTCGGCGGCATGGCTGCGCGCTCCCGTTGCTAGTAGGAGCTGTTTAGGAGGAGTTGGGGTTTCCACTTGATGCCTAGAGAATGCTGCAGTCTGCACCTTAGACGCTTTTTAGAAGTTTTGAAATGACCTTGATTTTTTTTAATTGTTATGAAAAATGAACTATGTCTTGGCTCTCTCACATGCTCTGTTACTGAGAGAGACCACCCCTCCCTACTCTGATGTATAGACCATTCTCCCTACACCAGCTAAACAAATGTCAAATTAATAAAGAAACTGACTCATGGCACAAGTCTCTGTCTCTCCTTCTTGGCTCATCTTTGAGGGCTTGAGGTGCTGGGCAGGGGTGTAGCCTGGTTTGGAGTATGATGGGGGTCTGTTGTGGGGGAACAGCATAATGAGACACCTCCACCCCTAAAAGGAGTCCACCAACGTCCAGCTCCTGGAATGCCCCTTCATCAGGACCACCCACCCCAGAAGTGCTCAGAAAGAGCTGACAACCCGGCTATCAGGAGATGAGAAGAGGGGGGGGGGGTGGCACCCACCCTGCGAACCAGAGGGCCTGTCCAGGCAGGCAGATGACATTCACCAAGAGGAGCTTGCCAGATTCTGCCCTCGCTAGAGAGAGGAAGTGATCCCTGTTCTGAACTAGGCTCCAACACTATGCAGAGCTAAACCCCACACTGGTGGTGTTCCCTCCTTAGTCACATGGAGGATTAACAGTGTCTAAGTTCCTTGCATTTGTCACTTGAGGTTACCAGACAACACAGCCCTATCAGCTCCAGCATTAAACAAGAGTCAAATCATTTGCAGCAAATGTCCGTCCTAATTTCTCATTATTATGGAGTGACCAAATCTTTGTTCCCCAGGCCCTGGTGCACCTCAACCAAGGGGCCAAGCTCTCAGTCGGACACTGAAAGCCCACCAATGCCTGCTGGTATCTGCATTCCCCAGAGGGTTTTTCTGAAACACTTTCAGAGCCGCGACTGCCTTGGTTGGTGGCTTGTCTGGGAATCTGGAATGGCTGGCACATGGCCTGATAGCAAACCTAACGTAAACCATTAAGAACTTTTTCCTAAGGGTTTAAGTCCAGACAGCAGAGAAGTGTGGTCAGCAAGATGAACAAAGATGCACAGAGGAGAGTGGAAATCACCCCAAAATTAAGAGAAACTGGAGGAAGAATGTCTCAAAGAGTTGCTGAGAGCTAAATTCAGTAAAGGTACACTGTAAAGAGATGATTAAAGAAGAGAACTAGCACACATTCCTGCTGATGACTTAGTGGTTGAAATCACCCCAATAGGCAGAGCCCCCACTCCTGATCATGTGAGAAGGAACTCAGAAACCAGTAAGAACATTCCTTGGTCAGTGTGCCAGGCTTCAAGGGTAAATTAGAATATGTTGTTCTGTGGGTCTGCTTCTGAAAGTAAAACTTGTCATAAATTAGAAATCAATTCCCCAACATAAAGCCCTTCTTTTTATGATGATAAAAAAAAAAAAAAAGCAAACAAAAAAACACTTTTTCTCAGGCTGAAGAGATGGTGCCAAGAAACCTGTCTTGGGTTCTTAGCACCAATGTCAAAGGGCTCACAACTGTCTGTATCTCCAGCCCCAGGGGATACAACACCTTTTCTGGACTCCTCAGATGGACCAGGACAGACAGATGGACAAACAGACACATACACACACACACACCCCACATCTCTCTCTCTCTTTTTTTAAAGAACTCTCCCTCATGTTTTTCTTGATCAAAGCTTGTAGAAATATCATCTCCCCTTTTGTAAAATTCTTTCTATTTATTCACCAAATCACTCATGCCATAAAGAGTATTGCTTACAACACAGGCAAATGCTACATGGCAAGCCAGTCTTCCAGCAGACTAACAAAGAAAAGACTCTTGTTTCTCACTTGTGAAAACACAGACCCCCCCCCAATCCCCAAAGAATAAGAAAGTGACTTCCGGAAAGCCCAAGTGGCCAGCCAGGGAGAACTCATCTGGAGAGACACTCATTGTCCCTGTCACTTCACACTCTTGGAGAGTGACTTCTAGAAAGAATGCTGAACTGAGAGAGTAACCTGGGAGGAAGGAAAGCCCTTATTCCCCTGTGCTTCAGTTTCCCTGTTGTCAAAGGAGACTCTGTCCCCACAAGAACCAGCACATTGCAACAAATTCATCAGGAACAAAGCACGGTGCTCTTACATTTAGTTCATTCCCAAGCCTCAACCCAACAGCCCAGCTTAGGACTCTGCTTCAGGAGCATAGGGCCTCTCACATGAGGGACTTCACCCAGGACACCAGTCCCAACGGAATATTGAAGAGACCAAGAAAGACTGGCAGAAGCAGGAACATTTACAGTCACCCCTCTTCAGCCTTGGTGGAATGCCCCCTCACACCCACACCCCTGCAACTCTAGGAGCTGATGCGTGGCTCACTGCTCAAGCCATTTGTGAGAAGTTCCCCGCCCTAAATCCTTGAGAGACTGGCATTACCCCAGTTAGCTCCTATTCCGGGGGGCCCCCCACTTACCCTGTCCTGGAGGAGGAAGAAGATTCATAAAGGGGCAGCTTGGGACGGTGACCTCTGAGCCAGTCCTCTTCTCCCTCAAGGAAACAAATAAAGACTTCCGCAGGAGCCTCCAATCCCTACCTCCAGGCACCAACCTTTTCCTAGACACTGGACTTGGAGAAGCAAGTGAAGCCTCTGACCGTGCACAGGGCGTCTAGAGCTTATTCTTACACACACACACACACACACACACACACACACACACACACACACACACACACACACACACACGGACAGGCTGATTTACAGTCAATCTTTCAAAGTGCAATTTGTCTAGGAGAAGCCAATGTGAGGCCCATGAGGGCTCCAACCAATGGCGGCACAGCGCTCATTTCTCAGCCAGTCTCAGGCCTGTATTCTAATGGGCCATATCTTTATCAAGGAAATGTCCCTTCTCTGAACTTAAAACTTCTGATGGAGGGCCCCCAGACTCAGAGGCAGAGAAATCGGGTGCTCTGAATATGGGGAGCACCCCTCCTTAGACCCAGCTGGTGGAGGGGGAAAGCGGAAGGCCTCCCACCTTCTCTGGACACCTGACTTCCGTGCCCCATCTCTGAGGAAGGGCCGAGCCAGAGGTCAGTCCGAGGCTGGGGTGGGATGGGGCGACACTGATTCTCCAAACCTGCCACAAGAGTCTGGGCCACCATTTGAGGCGGTCAGGCTGTAAGGGCTCCTTGCCCTCCTACTCGCTGACCTGGAGATCATGGAGTCCAACCTGCAGGGGACGTTCCTTCTGAACAACACACAGCTGGCCCAATTCTCGGAAATGAAGGCTCCCATGTGCCAGTACTCGGTGCAGAACTCCTTCTACAAACTCAACCCTCCGGGACTTGGCCCCCAGCTGGCCGCTGGGACGCCCCATGGGATCACTGACATCCTGAGCAGGCCAGTAGCCACTCCAAACGGCAGCCTCCTCTCTGGCTACCCCCACGTGGCAGGCTTTGGTGGACTCAGCTCCCAGGGGGTCTACTACGGCCCCCAGGTGGGGAGTTTCTCCAAGGCTGGGAATGAGTACCCCACCCGGACCCGGAACTGCTGGGCAGACACAGGCCAGGACTGGCGAGGCAGCGCTCGGCAGTGCAGCAACAGTGAGTAGCAGGGCCCTCACCCCACCCTACCCCAGTCTGTCCCGGGGAGGAGGCAGGAGGCAGGGGTCTTTCACAGGTTCGGTTGCATTGTGTTCTTCCTCATCTCAGTCGCCATTACATAGCCCAGCCTGGCACTTGGTCCGTTGCCTCAGCTCACAGCAGAAAGGAACTCCATACCCTCCCACTCCTACCCTGCTTCCACCTAGCACAGGTGTCTGAACCCCACCTTGCCCACTCCAGCTGTCCTCCAAGGGACTTTGGGTGTCCCAGGCCCCACGAACACAGCCCACCCCACTCAGTGCAGCATCCAGCCGGTAGCTCAGTTTGCTTCTGCCCAGAGTCACACAGCCCCTTCACACAAGGCAGGCAATTGCTACCGTGATAAAGAAAACTTACTGTACTGTCATATCCCGAAGGACCCAGTTTTGCATGGCATTGTTCCAAGACCCACTGAGGTCCCATCCAGAAGCCAGGGCCCATCACCCACCTTCCTGCTCCTGTTTCATGTCAGCAATGGCAGTGGTGATAGTCCAGCCTTCAGGGACAACAGAGCTAAGTTGACCTTGGCCCTGACTGCTGGGGGAGGGAGGCTCTATTCCCACCCATCCCTCATACTCAGGTTTCTGAGGACTGGAGTGGAGGGGTGGGTATTATGCCAATCAAGGATCCAGGAAGTGCCAGGGGCATGTGCTGGTTAGTCACACTGGGAGAGTGTGGCAGTGGCTTCTAGGGCTATTGCTGGGCCACTAAAACTCTGGGTGGGATAAACATGTGGGGGTGGGGCAGAGGCAAAGTCCCCCTCTACTTCTTTTTCATCTCTAGCTCCCCCATTACAAATGGAATGTTGAACCAATGATGGAAATCCCCCAAACTCTTGTCCCCCATGTGTCTGAATGACAGCCACCTCTCTCAGACCTCATCTCTTGGAACCTATTATACAATCTAGTTTGGGGTACTGTTAGCCCAAACTATTTCTCCCACACCTCTACCCACGCTACCCATCCTGTTCTACTCCTCAATCTCGAATGCTTCAGAAACTAGCCAGGAAAGCTGGTGGCCAGTTTAACACAAGAAGAGAGGAAACTGGAAATGGTCATCGTTTAGGACAGTGATTTCCACCCTGCGGGTCACAATCCCATTGGGCTTGAATGTCCCTTTCACAGGGGTCACATATCAGACACCCTGCATATCAGACGTTTATGCTATGATTCATAACAGTAGCAAAATTACAGGTATGTAGTAGCAATGAAATAATGTTATGGTTGGGGGTCAGCACAACATGAGGAACTGTATTAAAGGGTCACAGCATTAGGAAGGTTGAGAATCTGACTTAAGAAGTCCTTTCCTCTTTGCTGAAGTCTCCTGCCTGTAATTAGGGCAGGGGACACAAGTTGCTGGACCACACCAAGTGAACATATGAGTACTCCTCTAGCTTCGAGCCTCAAGCTCATTCGTGAGCAGTCAGTCCAGGCTGTGTTTGGGTCTCCAGCTTCCCCAGATGACTCTGGTACTCCAACACCTGGCTGTGCAATGGTTTCCGAGAGGTCTGAGGCAGGGTGGGCTTCCAGGCTGGAGGAACAGTATCATGGAGCCCAAAGCTTCCCCCTCCATGCTTTTACATCAGACCTGGGATGCCATGGACTCAAAGAAAGGAAATGGGAAGGAATTCAGAGGCTCTGGAGGTCTGATTGCAGATGGAAGGTACCCGCACCTGTCTTGGTGAAAGCAAGGGCATTCTTGCCTTGGTGCCTTGGTTCAGAAAAGAAATTCCCATGTGTTCCTTGGGGAATGCAGCATCAGTGAATTATGGGGAAACTAGAAGGGAAGGCACAAGGCCCAATTCTAAGCCCTCCCTGTCCCAAGTAGCTAAAACCTGGTGCAGCTGCCTCTGGGGGCCCTGTCCTCCCAGGTGGAATAGAGATCACAGGAAGAATACTAGAGTGCTGCTCACCTGGCAGGTGTCACCAGGTGCCAGTGACTCGGGGGCTCCTCAATAGAGCACATCCCTGTGGAAGACACAGGACTCATCAGGTCTCTACTCACCCGGCTAACCTTATTTTCCTTCTTCCTGCCAGCCCCAGACCCCCTGAGTGACACCATCCACAAGAAAAAGCACACCCGTCCTACCTTCACAGGCCACCAGATATTTGCTCTAGAGAAAACCTTTGAGCAGACCAAGTACTTGGCTGGCCCAGAAAGGGCGAGGCTAGCATACTCACTGGGCATGACGGAGTCACAGGTCAAGGTGAGTCTGTAGGAGAAGATACCCGCCTGGCACCCAGCATTAGCCAGGGCAGGAGGCTACCAGGTGACAGGAAGGCTTGCCTGCCCATCTTACTGTGGAAATTACCATAATTACAAATACCCGCCTCCAATGACAGCCATCTGTCTACCCAGCCCATCTGATCCTATCAGCAGTACCTCCATTAAGTCTCACCCTGTCTTGAAGTCACTGTTATGGGGTTTGTTTTTTTTTTTTTGTTTTTGTTTTTTTTTTTATACAAATAAAAGGTCAGGGTCAGTTAATCAAGCCTGGAGCTTGTGGTCCTTACGTTCTGTGGGACACTGACCAGCAGGCCTGTTTCCCAATCTTTAAAATGAAGGTAATACACCCTCTGTTCCCGGCCATGTGGAGGAGGGTGGCAGAGCCCAGCCATGGGCTTGCACACACCTCAGAGCCAGCATCAGCCTCTCTACTGCCACCTCCTTAGGCTCCGGGGACAAGCGGTCCCATCCCATCGCCCCACTAGTCTGTTCACACTGTGGATGGGGACTTTGGATGTGAACAGATTCGAGAGGTTCTGGGGGGCAAAGTGGAACCTACCTCAGCGGATTGTCACAGCCACGAGAGAAGGCTGTGGTGTGAAAGCGGAAGGAGATGATGGGCTCTTGCCTAATTTGTTTGCCGCTTTAGGGTTCCACAGTCTTCAACCATCTCAAGTAACATACTCACTGGCCCTGCTGTTTTGCTAGGGGGCAGTTATTCGTGAGCTTCCTGGGGATCTATAAAACCAAAAGAAGGGCAACTACATTCACTCCTTTCGTTGTTTTGCTTGCCGGCTCTGCCACAGTGTCTTGGGTTCCAGGGAGGACTCTAGTCAATGACATATCAGGGGCTTCGGCTCAGACGCTCAGACAGCGCAAACTGGAAGCCGCGACTCAGGGAGGGTTGCTGCCAGAGGAAAGATCGGCCGCATGCTTTTCAATTTAATTTTATTTTATTACTCCCCTCCGAGTAATGCAAATGTCAGCGTGCAGCGGTGTATGGTCCGGTACACGACTCTGGGGCAGCGAGGGGACCTCGCAGAGGAGCCCGCTCCCGCACCCCGGTCGCTCTTTGCAGGTGTGGTTCCAGAACCGTCGTACCAAGTGGAGGAAGAAGAGCGCCCTGGAGCCCTCGTCCTCCACGCCCCGGGCCCAGGGCGGTGCGGGCGGGGACCGCGCGGCCTCGGAGAACGAGGACGATGAGTACAACAAGCCGCTGGACCCGGACTCGGACGACGAGAAGATCCGCCTGCTGTTGCGCAAGCACCGGGCCGCCTTCTCGGTGCTCAGCCTGGGCGCGCACAGCGTCTGACCCCGGGCCAGCTGCGCAGGCCGGCCTTCCCCTCCCCTTTCCAGCTGAGGGTGGGGGGACAGAGAGGAGGAGCGCCTGGGGAGGGGGAGGAAAAGAGGAGGAGAGAGAAAGAGGAGGAGGAAGCAAGAGGAATGGAAAGAAAGAAGGCGAGGGATTGACGGCGAGCTCATCAAGAGAGGAGATGGCCCAGCTTTTGCCAAGTCTTCCCTCTGGGCCCCTTGCCCCCCCTCCCACCCCCGTCAGCCCTGCGAGAAAGCGAGCAGGCTTTTTGCAGCAGGGAAGCTGGCAGTGGAGCTCTCCAGATGCTTTGCGTTCCCCTCTAGGGAACAGCTGGTTAGGGAGTCAACAGGTACTGAGCCCAGTCAGTGGCTGTGACTGCAGAGCCTAAGATGGAGTGTGAGGTCCAGCTGTGCTTCCGAATGCTGTCACTGGTGGGGGCAGGAGGGAATCCACCTCTGCCAGGGGAGTGGGTTCTGAAAACAGAAACTCTTGTAGACCTGAATTTCAGGACCCTGGCGGCACTTTACTCTGAATGTAGATCCCTCCGTAACACGGACTGAAACGGGAATTGGGGGAAACAGGCAGAGGCGAAAACAGACCAGAGAACCCTAAGATTGTGTCGTCCCTGGGAGCCAGCCACCCATCAAGGCATTCCTGAGTACCCAAGGACATCAGAGCCTGGGGCACCTTAGCAGGAAGGAAAGAAGGGTTCTGAAAGCCACACTCCTCCAACAGGGCACTGAATAGGGAAAACACCGGGCAGGACAAGGCCGGGGGCTGTTGGGTACCCACTGCGTCTCCTTTCCTAGCCCATCCTGATGTCTTCTGCTCCGGGTATCATTGCGCTCCTGGCAGGGAGAGGGTGGGCTGGCCATGGAGGAGTGCAGCCCAAAGGAATCAAGGTGAACCCATCCTCATTGGCTTTTAAAACAAAAATAGAATAAAGCTGGAAAATCCCAGAAATCTCCCCGCGGCTCCTGCGCTTCTATGAAGGAAATAATGACAGTGGTGTTTTTCTCATGTCAAGAAATTATCGTTGGGCTGGAGAAATGGCTCAGCTCTTAAAATCATCTGCTGCTCTTTTGGAAGACCCGGTGTTGGGTTCCCAGTTACAGGCAGCTCACAGCTGCCCTGTAACTCCAATTCTGGGTGATCCTGCGCCCTCTTTTGGCTTCTTCAGGTACTGCATGCATGCTCACAAATTGACACACTTAAAAATAAATCTTTTGTAAAATAAACATAAAAAAGACGCTGAAGGCATCAACCATAGGCCCAGTTGTTATCTTCAGCCACAAGATAACAAGCCCCAAAATTTTTTGAAGACTCAAGTTCTGCGCATCTTCAACATCACAGATGTCTCAGAGTTAAGGGGAAGGGAACAGGACTCACCACAGCCACAGCGTCTTCCTTAGCAGGCACTTCAGGTGCTCATAGGCAACCACAGATTTGGGGCACAGCTCTCAAGTGTGTCATTCACATTAGAAGGGCTTGTGGGTCATATACCCAGAAAAGGGTTTCCGCTTAGGAGTTCAAGAACACTGAGGTGGGCTGCTATGTTGAGTGTGTGGCCTATTGAGAGAGATATTAATGCCACAAAAAGACAGCCTCGTGGGAGCTCTGAGTAGAGGTCAGGCCCACGAGGCTGAATGCAGGTCCTATCTAGATTTCAGGAGATGGGGGAAGGCATCCTATGAGAGTGTTTCTCAACCTGTGGGTCATGACCTCTTGGGGGTCAAATGACCTTTTCACAGGGGTCACCTAAGACCATCAGAAAACACAATGTTTTCACATTATGATTCATAACAGTAGCAATATTATAGTTATGAAGTAACAACTAAAGTCATTTTATGGTTGGGGTCACCCCAACACAAGAAACTGTATTAAAGGGTCACGATATTAGGAAGGTTGACAACCCCTGTCCCAAGCCACATAATTGATAAGTATCCCATAGTGAGTGCTTGCAGGCAGGTTGTCTTGATTCCTGGGCAACAGGGGATGGCAGGAGGTTCAGCCCTTAGCTGACGCATCGCCGGTAGCCCCTGACAGCTGAGGTGTATAACCGTCCTTAGGAGAGGGGGGTGTAGACACACAGACAGCTGTGGCAGGGTGCCAGCCGTATCTTTTACTGCAGCTATGAGGGCAAGGAGAGGGAAAGGCCGGAACAGTCTCAGCTCTAACCTAATATTCAGCAGGCCAGGAGAACACAGGTAGCTGCCAATGTCATGCCAGGTTCTGAGTGATCACACCCTGACAGCAACGATCAGAAAGGACAAATAGTGAGCTTCCATTTCTGGAACCCGGTCCCATGCTCAGGCCATCCTTTGGTTTGATCTAGAACTTCCTAACCCTCCAAAGTGACACAGGACAGAGAGGCTTATGGACTGAGCTCTGCCATTCTCTGCATCCTTGGGTGATCTGTTTAACCTCTGGGCCTCAGTTTACCTATCTGTAAATGGAATAATAATTACTTATACTGTGTAGGGTTGGGTAATATTAGAATAATGAGCAAGGCATGGCAAGCAGGTATTTCATCTCAGCACTCAAGAGGAAGAGGCAGGTGAGGTCAAAATCAGCCTGGTTTACAATTAAACTCAATTAAAAAGAGGGGCAAATATTGAGCCTCTCTTGGGTGGAAAAAAACAGAAAGGGAAAGCAATAAAATAAAATAGTGAGTGTCCCTGGCAGATACCAACGGGAAATGGAAATGGCCATTCTCAATCATTTGGGAGACATTTGGGAAGTGCCTGACTCCCAATGCTGACTCCCAGTGCTGTCTCCTGCGATATTGCTGGTGGCAGTGCCCAGGAATGACTTGTGGGGTGACCCGTCCAGGAGAGCTCCACCTTCATGCACAAGGTTGGAGACCCTCAAAAGGGCTTCCAAGAGGAAGGGGGTCAACCCTTTTGGGTCCTTGTGCTTCTTCTTCCAAGTGAGGACATAGCTCAAGCTACCATGTTAGAAGCGGAAAGGAGTCACTGAACCTGCTGGCCCTGTGATCTTAGATTTCCAGTCTCTCACTTCGAGAATCACCCAGGTTCGGGTGCTGGGGTATGAAAGACACAGGCCTGACAGTGGCTTCTGCTTTAGCCAGTGGTAGCTTGGGGGGGGGGGGGCACAATCAGTCCATTTCTCTCTAAGGCTGGTCCTGTCTACAGAAGGAGGCTGGAAGAGTAATCCCGAGAGATGATGGGACCAGAAGGAGCTCAGTACTCCTCCACATCACAGCAGTGGCTAGGGCTGGGACACAGGGACAGTCATAGCTACAGGCTGATTCATGTGCTCAACCCCCAACATGGGTCAGCTGCTGCTTGGGGGTCATGGAAGTCTGCTGGGGGGGGGTCAGGTTCACATCACCCAAACTGCTCTTGGAACTCCGAACTACAACATCAATTGCAGTTTCCAGGTGTACCATCGTGGATGCAGTGTTTTTACTGTCAGTGGTCAATGGCAGGAGCGCATTCTCCAGTGAGAGACCCCACCCCTAAACGTTTTCCCACTTAACATTTGGAGTCTACCATGTCACATCACCTAGCCGGTCACCACAGGTTTCTGTGTCTGTGCATGCTGCTCTAGGCTTCACTCAGCACCAGCAGGGTGCAACAGGGGTTCTTGCTTATTCCCTGAAATGCCATGGTGTAGGATGCAAAGATGCCAGCACTACCTGCAAAGGACTGTCTCAAGGGTTCTGTCCCCTTCAGCCAGTCACCTTCCAGCTGTTGTAGTGGCTGGCATTGCTACCCTCCAGATGAAGATGTAGAGGTGGAGACGCTGCTGGCATACTCCGGACACATGAGCTCTCTCCCACTGTACTGCCAGTCCTGGAACAAGGACCAACTCCATTGCTGTTCCCACTGCTACACTCCTGGGACGTTTGTTAGATGTCTGGGATGTCTCCTGGGCTGTTCTGTTTCCCTTATCTCACATCACGTCCAAAACTCATTAGGGATAGGTGTTCCATTATTCCCTCTTTATGAATTACTGGTGGTGAGGATGGGGAGAAGTCAGGCGGCTTGTGGAGCATTGTCCTGCTCAGCCCAGGCTCACTCTGGAATGCCCACTTTTAACTACAATAAAAACACAATGGTTAAAAAAGGAAGAAGAATGAAAAATAAAACTTTAAATAACAAAATAGATTAAAATTTTAGAATGACCTGATAGCAAACACCTGTAACCCCAGCACTTGGAGGCTGAGGCAGGAGAGTATTAGTTCAAGACTACTTGGTGCTTGCCTTTGCCAGACGAGAAACTCAGAAACAGTTCCCCCCCATAGAAAGTAAAAATAACTGTGTGTATAGAAGAAATAAACTTTGTATAGTAAAATTTTTGTCTGATCTTTTAAAAGGGGACAGCTTAAGCTATAGAGTGAACATTTGTCTAAAACAAAACAAATCATAAATAAAAAAACAGTGGATGAAGATCAGGGCTGGGACACAGCTCAGCAATAGAGGACATGTTTAGCATCCCACCCTGGGTTCCATCCTCAGCACCAAAACTAAGTAAATAAAGGCAAGATTAACAGAATCAAAAACATTGAGACAGGACAGAAGGCCTGTGTGTATTTGTGTGTACAAGACTCACATTTGGTCAGATCCACACCAGTCTGAAGACCATGTCTCATTGTGATTTTAATTTTCATTCTCCAGGACTGGGGAGAGGGCTCAATGCTTGTCTATCATGCACCAGGCTCTCCCACAGGCAGCACTGAGGGGAAGGATTGGTCTTACTTTGCAATTTCCTAATGGTTAGCTCTGTTAAATAGTTTTCTGGTATCTGTTAGTCACTAAACTTCTTTTTTTGTCTAGTTATCGAGTTGAGTCCCTTATATAATCCGGATATTAACCCTTTTTGAATGTATAGCTTGAACATATTTTCCCAGTGTGATGGAGAAAAGAAAACCAGCAAGCTTTGACATAAATTATGACCAAGCTCACTAGGAAAATACTAGTTTATGCAGGAATATGAAAACAGAATGAGGAGCTGTCTGAGACCTGAGACAGCAGAGCTAATGCTGATCTACTTACTGCCTTCTGCTCTGTGGTCCTGCTGCCTCC